GAAAATCTGGCGGCCTACCTGACAGACGCTGTCTGTCAGCGTGAGTTTCTGGAACGGAGGCGTCAGCCAGTTTTCTCTTTCTAATCTATCTGGCATTCTTGTCAGCGATGCGAGCAGTGTTTCACTCGATTCCAGAGATCCGGTAGACACCCTCGCTGACATGCCTGAGCAGACAATGTACATGCGGAGAGGCCATGGCCTAGTGAGGTCGCATCGAGCTATGCTTCCCCAGTCGTCCCATTCGGCTTTTGGGATGGAAAACTTGCATCGAGATCAATAGCCGTCCGGAAGCAAGGTCAATACTCGGCAACTACGTCGGCAGGCGCCAATAGCCAGACATCTATCTGCCTTGGAGCTGAAGCCTGAGGTTTGGAGAAAACCGCCGGTAATGTGATTCCAGGCGCCGCTGGCAAGTGACCCTCATCCTCCATACTGCAATGACTCGATTCCATGCGGCTCAGAAGAAAAGAGTTACTACCCTAGATATGTCAATGCCGTCCATTGGTAGACCGGATAACAATTCCGTGGACCGTGTCACTTGGTATGGCTGCTGTCACTGGTGATATCAGAGAACTGACCAGACTTTCGTCCCGAAGCTGCTCACGCTCGTCTTCAGCGACATCATTGTACCAACGCCTTCCCATGAGATGACGTGACGGGCGTCTCTCTTCTTCTTTCGCATACCGAGGAGGGGACAGCTTGCTCATCAGTATCACGTACACCCAGGTAAGGCCTCGCGCATGGGTTCTTTTCAGGTAGACATGACGAAGAGCTCCACTCGACACTCCTTTGCATGGGCCCTAGGTGATGCCATGAGTTCCGATTGCGTGAGCATGCAGGGTTTCTCCGAATTGGAAAATTGTCTCCAATTTTTGTTTCGCAGTGGGTATCTGCTGGCCACCGTTGAATGTGATACCCAAGCAGCCTGCGGTTGCGGATATGCGAGATTCTTGACACTTTCAATATTAAGCCCTGACTGAGTCGTCAGACTAACCAGCTCCTGGTTCATCCCGCATCTGCCTCACGGCAGAGGAGTAGATCTTGCCGTGTTGAGGATTGCAATGTCGGCTCAGGCTCTCCGTGTGATAGTACACTTGGAGATCACTCGTTTGGGATTCAGTAGAGTAGTGAGTGTGCCTTCAAACATCTGGTGCGCCTCAGAGATGCGGGCGCCGTACATGCCAGTGCTTTCGACAGGAACAGTAATCGGGTGATCATTTCAGCTCTCGAATGTGTCTCCAAGTTTGCTGAGCCCAGAAGATGACGTTGATATCTCGCACTGGTCCTTGCCATCAAGAGAAGCACTGTCGCGTTCATGCAGGGAAATGTGTACGAGTGGTACTGAGGTTGAGTCGATCAGCTTCAAACGACTTTATCCAACACCCATGACATTTTTGTTCAGGCGAGGTATAGCCAGGGGCTGCGACTCGGTTACTACGCCATATCAAAACAGGCGCATTGCCACCGACCTCGTCGGAAAACTGTGATATGCCAGCTCTCTTTTTGCAGATGCTTCGCCGTTGAGGCAATACAGCCTGAGCAAGCTGGAAGGCCGCAGTCTCTATCATTAGTCTGACTTGACAAATAAATGCAGTGGGCCGAAATCCGGGCAGGGTTTTGCATGCCGACTGCGGATGCGTCAGAAGTTGCGGATCAGGATAAGGTACGGTCATCCATGAATTTTAGGTACTCATGGGCTTTCGAGGACTTACAAGGGTTGGGGTCAGGACCAGCCATGCGCAGCGCCTCGCTATAGGACCGGTAAAATGGAGGTGCACATGCAGTGTATCCGCATACCATCAGTCGGAGAACTTGGAACCAACCACTCGATCAGGTTGGCGCAGACTCGAGCGCTGACAGAATTCAGGTAAAGGAGCAGCAGTTGCAGTGCCTTCGATATAGGCTGTCATAGACGTTTTGGTCGATGGAGTAATATCAAAATGAAGTCGAGGCCCGAGGAACGCTGTCTGGCACCGAGGGCGTCACGATGAGAAGGCCTTTTCTGGACCGTTTCAAGAAAGTACTGAATTCTTGGAGGACGCATTGCTTCCGACATGATCTGGTTCGGCCGGTTAGAGCCTCGGCATCGTGTTCTTGTGCCGTCTTTTGATACTAAAATCCATTGTTGCAAGGATAGGTGTAGGCAAGGCCCTTGAAGGCCCCGTCAACTAAGCCGGGGTCCAACAGATGGGGCCTTCGGTCCATGTCCCTCCCCTCAGAGGAATCCACTGGGGGTCTTTGCCGCCGCGGTCAGTGGACTGGAGGGCATACCATCACAGCGGACCCTGACGTGCAGGATTGAGTGCGCAGCTCAATCTGAGGATATGAGCTCTGTGAAGAGACTTGGCGTTCAGTAGGTTTTTGCAACCGCCGGAAGCAAGGCGCAATAATGAAGTTCCCATATCCATGGCAAGAAAGAGCAGCTGGTCAACAGCGGCTGTTCAGCAGTGTCTCTCTAGCTGTCAACTTGCTGGTCTTCTCAAGCGATCGACGGAGAAAATGGTTCGATGTCGCGAACCATGACGCTTCGCTAGCTGGGACGGGTGATGGCCTCCAACGACCGGCAGCATCCTCATTCCGCGGAACGAACGGGATGTGCGCCACCGTCGGCTAGGGCAGGGAACGATAGATGCTCAGCCGTGCCGGACAGCATACAAGAGAGCGACGAGGGATGAGCGATCATGAGCACCGAAGCTGGTATAAGGGCGATGGCTCCAATTCTAGAACGTATCCGACGGCTGGTTGATAGGACGGTTCGGCCAAGACGACGGAATGCAGGCGGCAATAACAACCATGCAGCGTCGTACGTATATGGCCGCGGAGGGAGGGGAGCTCAATGTGCCAAAGCTGCAGATTCGCTCCATTTCAGGACGAAAGGTTTGACAGAATGGCATAACGTGTCTTCAGGCGGAACCGAAGGTGCTGAAGTACGGACGGATGAAGGCGGGCGGCACAGATAATGTGCAGCAGAGGAAAGGAAAGAGGTACTCCGTAGACGATGTAAGTAGACAAGGAAGGTCCCTACCTTGGCACCCCGCCATCCGAACTGTTGCGTGATTATGTAATTTCGAGGAAATCACGAAGGTGCCCTTATCCGAACCTTCTCTTCCTTCAATCAGACAAGATCGGTGCACAGAAATCAGAAAGTGCAAACTTGGAACCCGGAAGAGAGGCAACCAGGGATCGTGAGAGGCAAGAGGGAAACCTAAAAAGTCAATCTTTGAATTTCTCCGCAATTCTTCCTCACCAACTACTTGTCTTAAGCTATCTTGGACTCGATCACACCTTAATCTGCCTCCGTCGATGCAAATTCGAAGTTTACAACATTTCGCCTGCTCTACTTTAGTTCTAACCACCAAATTCGCATATCACTCAGCCTTTACCTTACCTCTTTACTCATTCAATTTGCGTTGAACTTTTATCGATGGAACATGTCGCCTCATTGGCCACAAAGATGCTCAATCCTTCGACCGCCGAGCATCCGACTGGACCCCCTGGCAGGAGTCTACGCACTCAACGAGGGCCACGAATCGGTGCTTCGTTGCGAATCTCGTGCGGAACTCGAACCTCAATTAGCCAACTTCGTCGTTTCTCAGTGCCCTGCCCTGGTCAGAGGTCTCCTCTTTCTCACCGTCTATCTCCATATCCATTCTTCCTACAACTCTGGCACATTCAACCAGGGCATTCATCGCCTCATTCTAGGTTCATTGTCCATCATCTGTCGCAATTCATCCGCGATTGTCCCGTCCCATCTGTCCCTCGGAACCCTTGCACGCAAGATCATGGTACGGATACAGGCGCAGACAGAGTAGTTTTGCCCACGGCATCTTCCTTGTTCACCACACCTTCTCATTTCCTACCCTCCATCAAGAGCCATGCATCCCCGTTGCAACAACTGTCCCCCCTCCCGGCTCCCCTCCCCTCCCTACCCCTCCCATTGACCCCTGTCATGGTCCATTCTGTTCCGGGCCCTCACTCCCGGGTACCTCACCGACCATACCTTAACTGTCCACTTGGCTCGACATCCCAGTCCGCGCATGCGGCCGTTCCACAGAGAGCGACAGACAGAGACAGAGAGGGAGGCAAACCTACATTTTTTCCTCTTGCGATTCGCCATCGTCATGTCTTCGTACTCGCTCTCTTTCCCTTCAGGCTCCTGACTAGCATCACGACCCGGGACAGGTATAGCCCGTCACCGCAACCTGCGACACATGCAGGCGAGGCACTGCGTCTATGACTATCATGTCGAAGCCCCATGCATGCCGATATCTGTCACCGCACTGATGCCATCCAGGCCGTCCCATCACCAGCCGCTAGTTCCCCATTTGCCCGTTGAGCCCCTCCATTTGTGCCATGCTTGGAGAGTTTCGGAAGTGGCTCAACAGGGCCCTGCCTAGTCACCGCAAAAGGCGAAAAGTTACTTCCATCCGCCGTCCCGTTTTCCACCTGTCCAGCATCGTCAACCAATGCCACGACGATTTCACGCCCAGTGCCTACAGCTGCTGCCCAAATGCGGACACGTCCTGGCCCGACACGCTTCGTTCCTTGCCGAACCATGTACACTACCGCCCGGTATTCCTTACCCTTCCCTATCCTGTTCCCTTTCATCTCTTCGCCTCGCAAGCCAGTACGATACCGGCCAAGGTTTGTGCTGCTGCCGAACGCTGAGGTGGCTCCGTCGCTAGATGTCTCTTGCATATGATTTCCCGAGATTACATGTACGAAGCTCTTAGCTTGGCTCCGATAACTGGTCGATGTTTGGTTGGGCGAGCTTGGCCAACTCTCCCCATCATGGTCACCCTCGATAGGTATGCTCATGGCCCGTTGTCCATCCGTCTCCCCATTCACCCAAGATAGCCCCTTGCAACTCTGGTCTATCACCGATTGACACCACCATGAGCATCATTCATCAGGACGTTGAGAGTGTCCGGGGGCCGGGCAAGCACGCAAGCCTATTTAAGGGGTGGTGGGGAGCAACGGCCCCTCGCGTCAAAGTTTCTTCATAATTCCCTTTATCTCGAGTCTCCTGCTTTTCCGGTTATCATTCCATTCTGTCAAGTGATAATCTATTTCGCTCACCTCCATCTTCGTACGGGAATCACATTAACTTGGGTTCCTTACATCTTCATCCCACGAAATAACCCTGTCTATCCTCTCGTGGCCCCCCATTACCCCCAAACTCCAAATACCAAAGCGAACCTATCAGTCCTCGAGACACCCCGCGCCGGTCCCCTCCCGTCCCTCATTCCCAGGACCCTCGCCCTCGTGTTTTTTCAGCATATTTTGTGTTGTCGGCACCCCTCATCCGGCACTTGGGCCAATCCCGCTCATCGAGCCCTCCCTATTAGGAAGTTAGGCCAAGCCCCCTTTGACACCCTAACCCATCATCCCACGCTTCACCCCACGCCGCCGGCGTCATCCAGCTTCCATCATGGCCCCAGTAGCAACGGGTGAGATGGCACCAATGCACCTACCCGTCTACAAGTCAAAGTCTTGTTCGGTCACTGCGTCAGTCTTGTATGGTCCTCGAGACTTGCGATTGGTAAGTTCAACTTTCTTGGGTTCATGGTCATGGATTGTGACGTGGAGAATGTGGGCTCGTTCGTCACACGAGGGTTCCCCCACGTTGATCCTGTTGCATCCCTACACCTGAATGTGTCAAAAGCCGCCCCGCCTTGGACATGTTAATTCTAACGACACTCGTGCCTTTTAGGAGACGAGGAGCATTGAAGAACCGGCCGCCGGGGAGCTGCAGATTGCCATCAAGCGGACCGGTATCTGCGGGTCTGATGTCAGCTACTACAAGAAGTTCGCCAACGGCGACCTCTGCGCGTGCCACCCCCTCTCCCTAGGTCACGAGTCTTCGGGAGAGGTCGTCTCCATCGGGCCGCAGGTCACGGGCTTCAAGCTGGGTGACCGCGTCGCTCTCGAGGTCGGCGTCCCCTGCGGACAGTGCACCATCTGCCGCAAAGGCAGATACAACCTCTGCAAAAAGATGAAGTTCCGGTCCAGCGCCAAGAGCGTGCCCCATTACCAGGGAACCCTCCAGGAACGAATCAACCACCCGGCGGCGTGGTGCCACAAGATCCCCGACCACGTCTCCTACGAGGCGGCCGCCCTCCTCGAGCCGCTCTCCGTCGCCATCCACGCCGTCAACAGAGCCGCACCGGAGCCCGGCTCAACGGCCTTGGTCATCGGCGCAGGAACCGTCGGGCTTCTGACGGCCGCCATGGCGCGGCAAGCTGGCTGCTCCGAAGTTACCATCACCGACGTCGACGCCGGCCGCGTAAACTACGCCGTCGAAAAGGGCTTCGCCACCCACGGCCACGTCGTCAAGACCAACTCCGGCACCTCCACGCCAGCCGACCCGGGCGTCATGACCCCCGCGAGCATCTTCTCCGTTCAGAGCGTCCAGAGCAAATTCGACGGCGCAAAGTCCCTCGCTGCCGAGATCCTGGCCCTCACAAAGGTGCCCGAAGAACTCGACTCGGACGCCGAGGACGACGGGGTCGACGTCACCTTCGAGTGCACCGGCAAGGAGGTCTGCATGCATACCAGCCTGTACGCCACCCGGCCCGGCGGCAAAGTCATCATGGTCGGCATGGGCACGCCCGTGCAGACTCTGCCGCTGTCGGTCGCGCACCTGCGGGAGATTGACATCCTGGGCATCTTCCGGTACGCGAATACCTACCCGACGGGCGTCCGTCTGCTCTGCGCCAAGGGCAACGGCGGGCTTCCGCCTTTGGATGATATGGTTACGCACCGGTTCAAGGGGTTGCAGAACGCGTCAAAGGCGTTTGAGCTGGCGAGTCGGACGTTTGATGACGAGGGCAAGCTTGTGCTCAAGGTTGTTATTGAGGCTTGAGATGGAGCCCCTTTTCTCTTGATGCGTAATTCTCTTTTTGGGGGGTTTTGGGTTTACAAGTATGCGGGTTTGATTATAGATAGTACCCTAGATTCCTTTCTTTCTTTTCTTTTTACTTTTTTTTCTAAATTTTGGAAAGCAAGCATTGGATAGTTTGATGAGGTTGTCATGATGACGAACTTGATACCTACTTAGAGAGTACAGAAGGGCCGTTGGGTTTATTTACTTGCCTTGGGTTGACCGGGACACAAAAAAAAAGATGAAGAAAAATTAGCATAGGTAGTCTGCAGGCTGAAAATACAAAACGGAGAACATGGCAATTTAAGAGGATGAAGAATACCGTGGCATGACATCTGAAATAAAAGTCAAACAAGAGTATAGAAAGGGAGAGGAGGATGAGTTCTCTTGGCATGCCTGGAGAAGGTACCCAAGGTACCTCAAGGAAGGAAGCAAGGGAATGTAGATGTGGGAAGGTGCTGGTGGCAGTATTCACCCCGACCGGGACTGTCCATGGACTAATATTCCGCCTCATGAGAATTCATCTATGATGCTTCAAGCAGCCCGCTGGCAATCGTGTATCTTGACCAAAGAGTTTGTATTTTTTCGGGGGTTTTCATGCCCCTCGCAAGTGTTGTCATGTCTACATTATCCCCGAAACGCCTCCCCATGAATCCCAGATAGGCTGATGATGCGTGCAACCACCGTCATAAAAGACTCTTCGCTCCCTTGACCAGTCATCGGCCGTCATCCCCCCTTACATCATAATGTCTCCCGCGCCCGGGAGGTTGAAGCCGGAAGGGCCGTAGCTGGAGAAGTCGGCCGCCGCCGCACCGGCGCGGTTCCTGACGCGTGCGGACTCGGCGATGCTGAACTTCTTGCCCAGGTCGCGCATGCCACTGATACTCTGCATGAGGTCGTTGAGACGTGACGTGATGGCCACCTCGTTCTCCTCGCAGAGCACCTCCTTTTCGAAGCCCTCCGCGTCAGAGGGAACGACGAGGTCTAGCCGGTTCACGAGGGCTTGAATCTGGCGGAGGATGGTGTGAGATGGTGTAGTTTGCGCATCTGTGGTGGCGGACGCGGCGTCGGTCTGTTCCGCCCCGGCAAGGGGTTCGGCCGGCAGGCGCTCGAGGTAGGTTGTGATGAGGCGGATGCGGCCCTGAAGCATCTTGACGGCGTTCGCCTTGGCCGTGAGGGCGGCCACCATCTCTTCCTCTTCTGGAGACAGCTGAGCCTCTGCATCGTCACCGTCTGCGCTGTCGGCAACGACGACGCGGCGCTTGCCGCCCGACTCAACGAGCTGGACCTTGGGCTTGGCAGTCTCCTTGGGAGCTTCGACGGCGGTCGCGTTGCCGGCACCGCGCGCTACATGGTCCATGCTGATCATCTCAGCCTCGCCCGTCTCGACCGTGTAGGGAAGCTCGCGGAAGCGTAGCTTGAGCTTGGATTCTCCGTCGTCCATCTTCTTGTCCTCGCCCTCTGCCTCGGCAGCTCTCGGGTCGTCTACCTCATAGTTGGATTCGTAGATGGTCATGGGCAGCTTGCCGCCCACGGAATGAGTGAAGACTTCCTCGGGATGGAAGCCGAGGAGGAGAGCCGACTCGTTGAATTCGGAGAGGAGCTGGTGGTGGATCGGGAGGATGGTCGGTGTCGGGCCTGTCACTGCGAGCAGGGTGTACCAGCCGACCAGGTCTAGGCTTCGGTCCTTGTGCACTGTCTTCACTTAGGGAGTGTTAGTCCAACGAAGGCGTGGAAAATGAGAAACAGCTGAGCATACTCTGCTCTAGTCTTGCACCGAAGCGCCCGGAGTCCAGAAGGTAGCCTCCTTCCACCTCTGGTGCCGGTATCGTGTGGCAATCAAATGCATGTTCGACGGTAATCTCGCGACCATTCTGCTGGCCGAGAAGGGCGCCGACAATGGGTCCTTGCTGCGAGCGCAGAGTATGACGGGTGATGTAGTCGGATATGGTGAGAAGAACCAGAGGGTGGAGGATTGCCTGGAGCTCTGAGGACTTTTGGTTCGAAATGAGAGGGTTCACGTCGGAGGAAGCCATGGCTTACGCTTCTCTGGCCGTCGCCACAGGATGTCGGATTTTCTACTCGATTGTTGAGACCATATGAGGCGGCGAAAGAAGGTACGATCTGAATCGAAGACCTTTTTCTTGGTGTTTGGTTAAATCGGTGTCGCTTGCGCTTGCTGCTGCAGGTACAGTTGCAGAGGTGTGGTTCGTCGCTCGGGGAAGGTGTCTGTGGTGGAGGTGAAGCTGCCTTGAGGCTGCCCCGCGATGTGGGGAAGGCATGGTCCACAGACTGAACGGGAGCTTAACGCAACAAGAGGCTGAGGCAGGGAGTCCAGCCACATGCTGACTGTTCCAATCTGTGGCCAATCAAAGCAAGGCGGGTAGCTTGGAGCTATGGTGGGGCCTACGGTCTCACTCATTTTCATGAACTGAGGTGAGGTGCTCTGTACCTCTGTACCGATGTACCACTCTTCCATCATCAACATCATTCTTAGTGTAGACAGGATGAGCACTATCCATTGCGATGCGGTACTCTTTTCGGGTTCATTTCAAATTGGGGCAACTTACACTATCATGGAGGCCAGGCTTGATGATGTCTTGTCATGTGCCGCCCATTTCAATCAGCGTCATTGACCCCTGCCTTGATAAGGCCATGAAGACACTAGATGAGTCCATGACTGGACAATGGAGCAAGTGCTTGAGATCAGAACGACCCCGGTCGCTTTCACTGTTCGAGCTTGCAACTTGATAGACAAGCAAGAGACCGGCCTAATAATCTCAAGGTCTTTCAGTTTTGGGCAGCATTGATGAGAGCGCCGGCAGCTCTGCACACCTCCTTAAAGTCAAGGTACCTCACTCACTTGGGCACCACATGCCGCCTTCCCTGCCGAGTGGCAATCTGCATCCTGGACCCGAGAAAAGTGGCATCAAGGTGCTTGTGACAGTACGCAAAACGTTGTGATTTTCTTCTTCTTTTTGCCAGGCACACCAGGCTGGAATGGAATCCCACCGTACCAAAGGGAACGACTCAAAGGCAAACTGTGCAACATACCAACACTCTTCTCTTGGCTTCCTTCTTTGCGGTTCATGGCTCACTGTTACTGGGTGTGCTCAGCTGCCCCCGTCAGTTCCAACATGTACCCAGCAGAGCCCGTTGTTGGTTGGCACAGGGTTCAAATATGGATGCTTGGCCGTTTTCTTATCAGCTAGCGGCGTTCCCTCATCTCATCGATGTTGCATCCGCTCCCGCTCCCGCATCCGTAAGACACACTCATCTCTCCCTCTTTTCCCCTCTATCACTGTCACTCTCTCATCAATATGGAAAGCTCCCACCACTATCTGGGCATGTCTCCCCCAGTCTATCCAACAGGGCTTGCACCATACCCACAACCTGTGATACCAGCGAAACGAGAGGATGACGACGTCCAATTCGTATCTTCCAATCCTGTCAAGAAGAGGAAGATCGGTGGCTATCAGCCGGTCACGCCACATTCCACCACAGACTCACCGGCGGCGGGGACTCCCGCCCCCATCAACAACCAGCCGTCCGAGCCCGCCAAGCCAATCTCCCAGCCGGAACGACGGGGAAGCACGGGCATGGTCGATCACTCACCCACGGCCCGTTTGCCGGACGTTGACCCGATGAGAGGATGCTCCATGCCGACTCCAGAGAAAGCCTGTCATTCCGAATCATTCTGGACTGCACCGTATACTGGACCACAGTGCTCACCACCGGTGTCTCCCAAATCACTTCCCGAACATATTTCGCCTTCGATGCTCGGGATTGACAAGAATGATGGATCTGCACCTGTTTGTACGAGCGGAACCAACGAAACGGTGGCTGATATTCCCGCGCTGATCCCGCCAGTTATGCCGTCAACCATGACTTCACCGCATGTGTATCAAGCGCAACTATCAGGAGAACAAGGTACGCCGAGTCAGATGCAAGCAGAGACCGAGAACCATGCTGAGACTGCAAAGGAGACACCCACGGCTCCCTCAGTTCCCACAGCTCCCATGCTAGCTGGCATCACTGACCTGGGCAAGATTAACTCTATGCCCGCATCAGAAGCAGACGGCACAGTTATCTCGCAACAAACAGTTGAGTCTGGGCCATCGCTGAACCACTCTAATGCCGATACGGAGTCGAAGAATGCCCTTCGCGATCTCTTGGATCAGCAGGTACACCTTCATAGTTCCAAGATCAACGACCCCTCTTTCCCCTTCCATACCCATACTCATCAAAACACACATACATCAAACCTGCTGAATGCTGATGTTCACAACACCGCCCATGGCACGTCAGATATCCAGACCGGGGCTTGCGCTGATCGCCCTGCGTCGGGAGCAAAGGCGCCATGCCGTCAGTGTGTGGAGGCGAGGTTGAGGCAACAGGCTGCCAACATGGCAGTCAACTCAGGCTTGCCAAACGGCACAAATGCATCTACCACCAGTCAGGCCCCCCTTCCGCCGTCGTCTATGCAGCAACCTTGGACAAACCTCTTGGGACTCAATCCGTATCACAACGCGATGGCCGGGGCCATGTACAACCCGCTCTTGCAACAATCCTTGATGGCTGGACCAGCTGGTCACTTTGCAGTCCATCCGCAACAGCCGCATCTCGGTGCCGGGATTCCTCCCCAACAGCCGGCGGGACATGTGTTCCATCTCGGACCTCCTTCGCCAGCCCCGCAAACACCGGCGTACGTCACGCAACAGCCGCCCGCCCAAGCAGCCAAACCACCAGCAGCAACCATCTCGAAACCTCAGGCAACCAGAGTCCCCGACACGCAACCAACTACCAAACACATCATTGTCGACATCGCAGACACATGCCTCAACATGTTTCCGTTTCAAGAGGTGGCGAAGCGACATAACCAACCGGAACAGAAGATACGGGACATCTTCTCCGCCGTCATCCAAGTCCCGCTACTCCGCTGTCCCACGGACAAGAGACGGGCCGGCAAGCTGGGCACGGCTAGGGTCAAGGAGTTCACGCAGGCGAAGAAGGAGGTGCAGGTGCAGAAGGGGAACGCTGGCCAGCAGCAGATGAGGCAGGGTTCTCCGAACCAGAACCTGAGTCAGATGCCGTATATGCCTTCGGCGTGGGAGGTTGCGCAGTTCATGGGCCCGAGCGATGTGCGGCTTGGAGCGTTGCCAAAGTATTCCCCGCCCTGGTGATGAGAAGAGAAGAAATGTCGCTTGGAGGTCGTTTCGTTTAAGAAATGGGAGTATTCGATTTCGCAGCTCATACTAAGGCTTAAGAAAGGAGGTCGCTTAGGAGGCATCCTGAAGTTTTTGTATCTATACCCCCATTTGCAATTTCAGTTCAATCTTATCTTCTAATTCCTGACCCCGTCTTACTTACAAGATCATTCCACGCATACCATCACAGATAATCTCACCATTTCATTCACGGGAAGGCAGGCCAGGCCACTCGACATCGCCACCCGGCTCCTCCCTCACCAAACTCACCGCAAAGTTTCGCTGGCGCAGCAGCCGCGTGTGCTCTAGCATAGCACGTCGAGCCCGCCGCATGCCGGCCTCGTCGCCCGCGGCGTCGGCCCGCATGTAATCACCCATCAGCACAGCGTGCTCGGCCTCGTGCCGCGCGCGGTTCTGAGCGTAGCTTGTGGGCCGGTGGCAAGCGGCGCAGCTGTCGTTGAGGAAGGCGGGCTGGGACTGATGCTGCTGCTGGCAGTGCGCGCTGTCGCAGTTGATTGAGTGAGTGAAAATTGTGTGGCCGCAGGACATTGTAGTTTGGGTACCTTGACACATTTTGGTTTGTTTTGGAGGCGCACTTCTTTACTCTTGAGGATGCTTGATTGATTGGAATTTGAAGCTACTGGTTTTCAGTTGGAGGATATGGTATATTTGCATCACTGTTACGGTTCTTCATTGTTCTTATTCAGTTGGTTTCTGGAAGCTATTCGCAGTGCGTGTTCTTTGTTCCAGCTCGCGAACTTGGCTATTGAATAGAATGAAAGTCCATTGTGCGAAACCTTTTCCTCTTTGTCTGAATAGTGGCGGGAGTCTGAAGATCACATCTGACAGAGGGCCTCGTTACAACCTCCCCATGTGTAGTAGGGACGCAGGGATGAAGTCTCTACCTGCCCGGCAACCCCCTATTTCGAACCACAGGACCCGGTATCCCAAACCAGTTCCGTGGGAATTAACACATCGGTATTCCTACTCGTCCAGAACTACTACTCAATCATATTCATGAGGATATAGACGACAAACAGATGTCGTCCCTTGATGACCCGGCGCACATCTCGCTTCCGCAAAGCGCGCGACTTGTTTTCCTGCTCTCAAATATCACAATCGGCGGCGAGATTGATGAGGCTTGCTTTCCCTTATCAACGAATAGGATCGCTTGCCGAAACGGCCCCCGGGAAAGTCGAGATTTGCCCACCAATGAGCGGCGGCGCGGAAGAAGCAGCGCAGAACCTTTCTCCGTACCGGCTGGACATTGCCGTCGGCCCGGCGCCTGTAGGTTTTCTACGTTTTGGGGTGAGGGATGTTTGCGAGGTGTATATCCGCCGTCTGCGTGCATGTACATGGAATGACGCTCACAATGTCTGGTGAACTCGTCCTTGGGGGAGTGATGCGTTGAGGGTATAGCCCCGTACCGCGATGCAAATCTCCTCTGTCTTGGGGAGCCTTCCATTTCTTGCTTTGACGGTGAAAGAACGTGATTTTGTTACTGATCTGATGATTCGCATGCTTAGAAGTTCACATACGGGGCCTGGTGAGGTTGCAGCACACTATGCAGGCGTTGATATGTTCTACCGCGGACCGGAATACACTCAGTGGGAGGGATCCGAAGTCAGAAGGATTTCGGATTCATCGAACCTACCAGATGCTACAAGCGCGACGCTGGTCTAGCCTACACCCAGGCTGCCGACCTAGACGGCTCCGGCTTCTTCGCCGTTCCTCGGCTAGAGCCTCACCCGGCCACTTATCTCGGAGCACCGTGACTTGACGTCAAATGAAGATTTACCCCACGGAGCGGCGCTCTGATCTTTGGTGGGGGTGCTCGGACCCGAGGATTCCGGACTCCGGTGTGAGACGGGAACACGGGGTGGGTGGTCTCAGCGAACGCTCGGGTACGACTAGCTCGGTGTCATTGACACCCAGCTCAGCTCGGCTCTGAATGACAATGTACAGAATGTGGAGGGTTTCTAAATGTGACGTTGGAGTTAACGTTGATGTTCCCCACGGGGAAAAATAAGAGTCATGAACCTGGTTTAGTACATCATCAGAGTGATTTCCCGTTGTAATTTTTTTCTGCCTCTTGAGGAGAGATCGTGTCCGTGCCTGCATTAGGTCTCCATTCAATTTTTTCTTCAAGTAACGTTCCAGTCAACACCGTCCGATTTAAGAAGCGTACTCAGGGCATGGAGATGACGCATGGTTGCTTTGAGTGATTCGACAAGGTTTATATCCCCCCATCCCCGCCTCTCATAGCGCATCTTGTTTCCTCCTGCCCCGCCAGATGTATGGAACGTATAATACGTCTGCGCCTCCGTCAAATATGGTCGCATGTCAAAGTAACACTCTGCTATGAAGTGTTGGAGGGGCGCATCGTCACCAGTTCACGTAGCGGTCGAACTTTGTACGAGCTCGTGGTAAAGTTGAATGTTGTAATTTGCGATGGAAGGAGGTATCTAAGTAATTATGACGCAAGGAGGCATACCTTTTATTCACTACTAGGTAGCTATAGGACTTTGACCAGATGTCATCCCAGTTTCTGAGCCATCTCGCCGGCCGTTGAAAGATCTCGATGCAACGCCAGATCCGACTACCGCAACATCCCGCCTTGGATCGGAGCCGTGTGCTGTCCGTACCTCCGAGACCAAATGTTACGTTCCATCGGAGACATCGGCGCGGCAACGGGGCATCCCACGGGCGCACGGATACAACGACGCCAGAAGAAAGAGGACCGGAGCGGAGCCTCAGGGAAGATCCTTGTCGTTGAGGACCGTGCCGGCGGGTGACGCCGGATAAAGAAAGCTGGGGGCATGGGTCAGACCCAGTTTCCCTTAATCTCCTCTTTGGGGTTGATGGACGAATCACATTTCACAAATTTGACCTCAGGTCCGTAGACCAAGCTCTCACCCACACTATTGCTAGACTCCCTCCCCTCCCCTCAGCATGACTGTGGGATACACTCGGATTCCTTCTAGTCCAGCGAGGGAGAAAAACTGGATAATGTGGAGAAGAAGAGTGAGGATCCTCAGATTATCTTCTCTTGTGCGATTTCCCCGCTCTGTCAGAACACGCCGTTACTATGTCATATTTTGTAACAAGAAGACGAGGGAAGCTTGATAGCAATATGGCACTCTAGTGAGAAACTTTCGAAGATAGGAAGGGCGGGGCAAGCCAAGCTTTCTCAAGATAATCAACTTCAACGTTGCCATGTTTTCGTGCCTGTCTCCCTATCTCGATGCTGCCTCTGGAAGTATCAGGTGTCAAGGACATGTTACAGTAGTTATAAGTCATAGATAGTATTGGTCAAATAATCTTGCAATAAGAGAGACATGATTAGCCCGGGTTCACAGCATACGAGGAGAAAGGCAATCACCATATCGATCAACGAGCCAGGATTTCGACAATGACTGCCGATGACCCTCGAGAGCTGCCTGACGATGCGTCACGCAACGGAACGGGCGTCCAGGATGACCTCGAGAACGGGAAGGGATCCAAGCTAATGAGACTGTACTCGAATCCGTGGACACAGTAGGATCCGTCTAGAGTCCGACTACCCGCGTCGCAACAGCTAAAGTGTGCCCGCAGAATCATCCTCATTAGCTTCATCTGCTTCTGTCTACCTGGAGTTAGTAACCCTTCCTTCGTGTGACTGAGAGATCACAAAATGCTGACGCAGAAACTCATATACAGATGTATAACGCCCTTACCGGCCTAGGAGGCTCCGGCCAAGTAGACTCAACGGTAGCAGCCAATGCAACCGTCGCCCTCCTCTCGACGACGGCCGTGGCGTCCCTCTTCTTTGTAGGCCCGATCCTGTCCCTCGTAGGCCCCAAGATTGCTTTCCTCATCGGAGGCTGGACCTACGCCCTCTATAGTGGAAGTCTCTTGAACTTCAACCGTATGCCCCCCCCCCCCCCTATGATACCGTCTATCTCCCTGGGGAATACTAAAACAGAACGAACCCCAAAGACACCGCAAACGGAACCTTCGTCATCGCCTCCGGCGCCATCCTCGGCATCGGCTCCTCCTTCATCTGGATCGTCCAGGGCGCTATAATGACAACCTACGTCCACGAGTCGCAAAAGGGCCGCGCCATCGCCGTCTTCTGGATCATCTTCAACCTCGGCGGCGGCGTCGGCAGCCTCGCCGCCTTCGGCCTAAACTTCTCCTCCACCACCGGCACCGTCAACGACGCGACGTACATCGCCCTCATGGCCGTAATGCTCTTCGGCTGGGCCCTGGGCCTCTTCATCTGCTCCCCGAAACGCATCCGTCTCGCGCAGCTCAGCGCCGTGACCGAGGCGGAGGATACTCGCAATCGCTCACACGCCTCCGCCTCCGCCTCCGCCTCCGGCTTCGCCGCCAGGGCCAGGGGCCTCGTGACCATGACGACCACGACGCTGTGCACCTGGCGCGTCGCCTGCATGCTGCCCCTCTTCTTCTGCGCCAACGTCTTCTACTCGTACCAGCAGAACGAAGTCAACGGCATGACCTTCACCCTGCGTACCCGCTCCCTCAACGGCGCCCTCTACTGGCTCGCCCAAATGGTCGGCGGCCTCCTCATCGGCCTCCTCCTAGACCTGCCCGCGCTCGATCGCCCCGGGCGTGCCCGCCTCGGCTGGGCCGTTCTCTTCGTCACGGGCATGGCTATCTGGGGCGGCGGGTACCGGTTCCAGCGGTGGCAGGACGCGCGGCGGGCCCAGGGCCACGTGCAGGACGTCGACTACGCGCAGGGCGTGCCGGGCAGCGGCGCGAGGACGTCAGCCGCCGGACCCATGGTGCTGTATGTGCTGTACGGGGCCTACGACTCGCTGTGGCAGTCGTATTGCTACTGGCTCGTGGGCGCGCAGTCCAACTCGACGGGACGGGCGGCGGTGCTGGTCGGCGCGTATAAGGCGTTCCAGGCGGCGGGCGGGGCCATGGCGTGGCGGATCAACGCCCAGCGGGCGAGCGCCATGGCACAGCTTGCCATGAATTGGGGGCTGAGCATGGGAGCTCTGGTGTTTGCCTTGCCTACTGTGTTGGCGGTGACGAAGAGCACTGGTGCTCTGGAGGAGGCTGGCGTAGGAGGGGTTGATGAGGAGGAAGCCGAGAAGGGGGCCCAGGGGAAGAAGGTCGAGGTACTGTAATGATCATGTGTTGGCAAGGAGAAAGGGAAATGTTCCATAGTATCCGCGTGTGAGTTTTCTTGGTTGTTGCTCTTTAGGTGCGCGATGTCTTGAGAGTGGGTGGTGAGATGAAGATAGTCATTATCTAGCTGAGCAAGGGAAGCCTGCAAGGCGATCTCCAGTACTTGCATAACTAAGGACTTGCTTGTCAATCATCAATACCCACGTCGAACCTCGTATAGTCTGAAAAGCTCTGTGCTCTAGGACGCATCTCACAGGCTGGCCGGACGCAGAGCGTACAGTAGCATACGAGAATCAAGGAGGAAGACGTTCGATTCAAGCATGTGTGTAAAGAAGAAAGGAGAGTTCTGAAACATATTTTGTGAGAGGATTGACGTACTAAATCTAGATGTGCCTCGGTTTTCATGCTTGTAAGTGCCTCTCGTGAGAGCGAGGCGATCGATAATGATCCATATCAAGATCACCCCGGGCGTCATAGGTAGTACGAATCTGTCACCTCCTAGTCTTTTTTCCAATTCTGTCAAGACGGTGAATAAATCACCCGAGCATTCATAGAACCAGTAGTGTCATTGATGAGACCGGGCCAATCGCAGGTAGAATACTTGAAATTGAGCTTTAGACACGAGGAAGTCTCCCTTGGACTCTATACATCATCCATCTGGCAGACGACTTCGTCCATAGCCTGCAAGGATCAAAGTTCTTAATAATACACACCTACCACAATATCATCATTGAGACTGTGCCAGATGTGCCGGTCGTTGTGGTCTCGTCGCCATGGAAGTACCACTGCTCCTCGACCACTATTTTTGGCCTTTTCATCGTATCCTAATATGTTTTCCTCCAGCAGGGCTACCCACTCCGGCAGAGGGGGCACAGTCTCCCACAGAGCTGGTTCGTGTTTGGGCCACTCTGCCTTCCACTTCTCGGGCGACCACGACCGATGATAGCGGATCACCCTTTCCACATCCCAGACTTGGCCGACGTCAAAGTTGCATCGTACGACGGAGGAGCCTTCGTCCCCCATAGCTATGTCTGCCATGGCCCTAGGAAAGTCTTCGTAAAAGTAGCCATCGCAGCCCTGGGCGGTGGAACGTTCGCCCCTCCTCTGATGTATAGATCTAACCGAGAATAACCGTCGGTTCTGCGCCTCTATCCAGGCCAGCTGCCACGCGAAATCCCTCTGCACAACGGCCTGGAATATTTCCGAGGCGAGCTGCGGGGCGGGCTCTCCGTCGAGAAGCAGTGAAAATGACCCCGCCGGCATCCCCGCGGGAACGAGGGCGCGGGCTTCATCACCCACATTGACACGAGCCGGGTGACGTCCTTTGAGTGCAACAGGCGCGCAGAGGCCGCACCCCGGACCATGGGGTTGATCCGGTCGTGTGGTGCCATCGAGTCAGGCTGGAGAAGGTTCCTCCACAAGTTGACGCGGCGCTCGACGCAGAGTAGGGGGTTCTCCTGGCAGAACGGTATGAGACCTCGACCGTGGCACTCGGGCGCGGCCATAGCCTCCCGGTCCTCCTCGATGACTATTCTGCGCACCTGCGCGCGGACGGCGGCAGGCACTGAAGCCAGAAAGTAAATTGCAGCGGACGCGGCCGAGAAGCGGTATATCGAAAGGTCTTCGCCTCTCTCGAGCCCGCTGACATGATAAGGGCTCTCCCCAACGCTTTCGAGAAGCTGATTCAGCTCATTTCCGTGGGGATCGCCCATGGCGGCATAGAAAAGTCGATCATACGGAGAGCGTTACCGTAGTCGCCCCATCGCTGCAGGAGCCTAGCGGCGTCTGGGTTGCAGAGCGACGCGGCCCGCAGCGTGTCTTTGCAGAACTCGCTCTAGGGCCTCGGTGGTGCTCCTTCCGACGCATGCGAATTGCCTATTTGGCAGAAATTTGTGCTGGACCGCGAGTAATTGTAGCCGTGCCGCCATCAGCCTTTCCAGCAGCTTGCCTATACAAGAGAGCAAGGCTATGGGACGGTACGCTTTTGGTTGAGCATAGTCCTCCTTGTCAGGCTTGGGAAAGACAATCGTTGTCGCGTCGCGAAAACAAAGGAAGTGGTGAAACATCTTGAAGCTGGCATTGACGAGATGTTTGAAGTATTTGTAAATCTCCGCCCACCCAACCTTGAGAGCGTTGCTGATGATATCGTCTGGCCCGGCAGCCTTGCCTCTTTCCACCGAGGTGAATGCGTCATGCAACTCATCATCGCTGATACACTGAGGAGTAAAGAGTTGGGGACGCTTGGGGTCAAGCTTGGGTATCTCAGGAGCCGGCGGGTCAGAGGCATCGCTCGTTTTGGGCCAAATCTTGTCCTTGAAGCAGTGCAAGCTTTCGTCATCGGTCTGACAGACAGAGCCATCAGGTCGTATAAGCCTCTTGAGATGGACCTGTCGTTGCAGTTGACTCCACAATGGAACCTGCCTCGCTAATTGATGAAGACCCCGTAATTGAGAAGCCTGACTAGCAATATTCTCTCGAAACGAAGCCAGCTTGTGCATCTTGGTGGCGTAACGGGTTTCACGCTTAGCAATGCGACACTTCTCCTCTTGGACTCGCTGTTTGCGTCGACATCGAAGCTCATGCAGAATGCGAAGCTGATTCTCCTCGTTCTCACGAGCGCGTTGGACGTCTTCCGGGACCACTTCGGGCTTCGGCCGCGGAGCGGTTTTTCTGTAGCAGGGAATGGTCCGGCGAGCAGCTTCGTAGATGCCCAGCACAAGCGCTTTGGCGTAATCATCAACCTCAGCTGCAGTTCCGATAGTGGGGCAGCCGATCGTGAGAAATTGCTGTTTGACTTCTTTGCAGTATTTCTTTTCATTTTCTTTGTCCCAGTTGCAGCGTGGCTCCTTGTCTCGATTGGGCGCAACGGAGATCCTGGTGTGGAGCGGCCGGTGGTCTGAATCGAATCCAGGTACTGACAGCGCTCGAGTGGGATGAGCCCGAGACTGCAGCCTCTGACCGGCAAAGGCCAAATCGATCGTGGTTGAGAAATCGCCGGAGTCGGTAGCCGACCGTGAGTAAGACCTTAGGCCGGGTGGCAACAAACATCGCATGCCCGCCATGCTTATAGCCTGGTGAAGAATTTCGGCGTCTTTCTCAACCTGCGCAACCCTATCTCCACCCCATCCCGGATGATGGAGGTTGAAGTCCCCAACCATTACGGCACTTTCGCCATTGACAGGATGATCGGAATCCGTCAATAGTATTGACATGAAGATGGATTGATTGTTGTTGTAGACGTTGTGAATCGTTATCTTGCCGCAGGACGTATTGAGAAACATGGAAGCTACCGAGCCATAGTGGTCGTTATCATGTTCCCGCCAATCGATCCTCCAGTCACTTGGACCGATCGACTGGGTAACATAAAAACCGACAAGCTTGACTGGAACAGGGTCCTCTGTCGTTTTCGGATTGTCATTCTCCAAAAGCTCTCTTGCTGGGAGATACTCAATGTTGTAGCCTGGACATGATTTCCAAGCGAACTCTGGTGGAGGGTCTTGGATGGCAATGACGTCTGGCGGAGGGTTCAATATGTGGAAGGTGGTCGATGAGGTAACCCATACGGGCGGGAGAGCGTTTGAGGTTTACCTGGATTAGATCCAGGTTGTTGGCGTAGTCCGAGTCAGAATCGGATGCAGATGCCTCGTCATCCCGCGCCTCGTGCTGGCGAGCACTTGATGACGATGTCGGGACCTCATTATCTGGCTATATACTCGTTAGACACTTTTACCACTGTAGGCTCTGTAGCTATGAGGAAATTCGCACTAAACTTACCTTGTCTTTTCGTGAAGTTCGTTTCTTATGCCCCTTTTTCTTCTTGCGAGTATGCCCCATTCCAGCGATCCTCAACGCTGAAGACGGCCGGCAATGTGACGAGGGCGAATAGATCAAGCCAAATATAGAAGGTGCCAGTAAGCAATCGGCTCATCCCGGGGTACTTAGGCATACTAACCCAGGAGAAGATTCTCCGCTTCACCAGAGCGAGACGTGTTGCGGGCCTTCATCGGGAGTTATGAATACAGTCCGAGGGCGGTGAAGGGAAGACTAGTGGAAGGAAGGACTAGATAATAGTTAAAGAGATGGAGTGCGAAGCAAAGAAAGAATATGGCGTTGGAGCAACCGTAGGATGTCATAGGACATCCGCATCGCTCCCGGAGGCAGACGATACCCCCAGGATAAGACCAACTTGCTGAATGCAAATAAGAATGAGGTATCGTGGTCGAGGAGAAGCTCGTAAGAGAATTATACTAAACGGAAGGTTCGGCGCAAGCAAAGCGGAGGGCAAAAGGGCAAAGGCCATTCATTGGCATGGCTGAGCCAGCCCAGTTACTTGTTGTGAGTCTTCTGCTCTACACCAAGGACATCGGATTTCAACCCGAGATCCTCTGCACTGCTGGTTATTTTTGTAAAACCATTTCAGTCGTTCAATTGGAGATGCGCCATCACATTGGGACCTTGATCAAGCGGAGGTCCCGAGACTTGACAGCGCGACGGAGCGGGCCCCGCTCCGGGAAGCCGGGCGGCACCGGTGGTGGCGCTCTTATCGATAAGAGGGCCGTCTGCCGGCCCGTCCCAAATTAGTCTAGTGAGGGGCACCCCCACCAAAAAATTCGTCTTCACCGATGAGGGTTGCCCAAGGTAGCTGGGTGCAGTGACAATCTCATTGTCAAAAGTCTTGCTCTCAAACATTTGTTTACACGTCGAGCCTCTTCGCAAGAAAGAATCGGGAAGAAACCGTCACTTAATCAACACCCCCCTTCCTCACAACAACATATTTCAAGATGGGAAAGAAGAGAGAGAGAGACGAGGCTAAGCCTGCGGAGGATGTAAAGATGGCCGATGAGAGCTCCGACGATGAGGTGAGAGACAAATCCCTATCTTTCCCACACAAGCGACCATTCTACTCACTCAGCAAACAAGGACTTCGACGTTGTCAACGTCGATTTTGAGTGGTTCAACTTTGACCCCGAGGTCGACTTCCAGGGCACCAAGACGCTCCTGCGCCAGCTGCTCGACGTCGACTCCACGCTCTTTGACATCTCAGGCCTCGCCGACCTAATCCTGTCCCAGCCCACCATCGGCTCGACAGTGAAAGTCGACGGCAAGGAGAACGACGCCTACGCGCTCATGACGGCGCTCAACGTCCAAGAGCACAGCCAGAAGCCCGCCATGGCGGAGCTCGCCAAATACATGATTGAAAAGTCGCAGACCAACCCGGCCCTCGCCGCCGCCGTCCCGCGGGTGCTCAACGACAGCGGCGCGCAGGTGGGCCTGGTGCTGACGGAGCGGCTCATCAACATGCCCTCGGAGATCGCGCCGCCCATGTACCGCATGCTCGTCGACGAGATCGAGGCCGCGGTCGAGGACAAGGAGCCCTACGAGTTCACGCACTACCTGATCCTGTCCAAGACGTACCAGGAGATCGAGTCGACGCTCACCGAGACGGAGAGGAAGGGGAAGAAGGCCAAGGCGGACACGGCGCTGTGGCACTTCCACCCCGAGGACGAGGTGTTTGTGAAGCACGCGGTGGCCCACGGCTCCTTCCAGTTCACGAATGAGGAGAAGGCGGTGGCGGACAGCAAGCGCGCGTTCCAGGAGATGGGTGTCAAGTCGCACGGCCACCTCATCTTGATTGAGGCTAGCAAGTGGGAGGGTGCTGTGCAGGCGGTAGAGCAATACCTCAGTGCATCTCAATAGAAGGAGGGAACTGAGAAAACAAAGAAGAAACATGATTTTGAGCAATTCTCTTTTGATTTCGTAGTCTATTCTACTGGCTCTAATCTCTGCATGAGGTACTCGACCTCGACGTCCTTGGTCAGGGGTATCACAAAGTCTTTGTACATGGCCACCACGGCATCGGCGTCAATCTTGGCCTGGTTCTCGGGGCCCGCTCCAATGGAAGGATCGGTGCCGTAGGTCAGAACCTTGAGCCTAAGGCGCTCGAGAACCTTCTTCTCCACGGCGGCGTTGGTGATGGCCTCGGCGATGCCCTCGCGGTCCTCGGCCTTGATGAGCTTTGTGTACTTTTCCGGATCGGACTGGAACTTGGACTCGGCGACGAACTTGCCAAAGTGTATCCTGCGGGAGAGGGCCTGGAGGCAGGCGATATCGCAGGTGGCCGAGGAGCCGTAGTTCTCCTGGGACTCGCCGCGGTCCTCGCGGCCGAAATCGGGGCAGAGTGCGGGGAGGAACTTGTCCACGTAAAAGTCCTTGATCTGGTTGTTGACGTTGACGTCGTTGGGGTGCAGGATGCGCGGGTAGTGCAGGGGCTTGAGGATCTGCTTCTGGACGGCCGAGGGGAAGAAGGGGTACTCGTCGGGAGAGTCGTAGCGGCGGATGATGGATTGCAGTTTCTCCTGTTCGCAGAGGTACCAGTCCATGAAGCTCAGTTCGCTGTTTGGTATGTTGAGCGCCCCAGGGACATAAATCGTTTTGTTACGGGCAAACTGGGCCCGCTCGATAAGGTGAAAAGTGATGGTATCTTCGAGACGACTGTTTGGTCGTTGGTGTTAGTTGTGAGTCAACAAACAGCGTTGGAGGTTGGAGGGGGAACCGACATCAACTGGTAGCGAATGCGGGACAGATCCAACGCCTTGGAGGGGTCCGATAGGTCAATGAGAGAGTCCATTTCGTCGTCAATTGATTGAAAGCCGGTTGGATATTGGTAGACCAGTCCCTGGGAGTGATGCTGGTGCGCAGAAGGAGTTTGAACGACGGTTTGGGGCGGGTAACGCATTCGGACTGCTTGTTGTCGGGTCATAAAGGGGAAAAAGCTTGAGGGTCGTGAGGATCTGGCTGGGTGCGGGCAGGTGACAACCGAGGCCGATGACGCTCCCAGCGAAAAGGGACAAGTTCCCGGCGGGCACTCCAGAACAGAAAAGAAAAAAAAAAAAAAAACTCGTCCCAACGCAGCACAAGCGCGAGGCTGCCCGTCTCCGACCCCCCCGTGCACTGCACCTGCAGGTCGCTGCCCCCAAGAGATCGGGTGGCTTAAGCGGGCACCAATCACTGGCCCCTGCGATCCTTCACAGTTGAAGTGGCTCCCCCCAAATCTTGCAGCCTCGTACCTCGTTAGCGTGCCCAGGTGTCCCGTGTGCCCGTGTGCCCCGTGCAGGGAGCTTCTCGGGTGTTTAGCGCGTCATCCAGAACAGGAGGCGTCCCCAACCGGGTTCTTACCGGGATCACTGCTGGGAGTGTGGATACGTATCTGATTCTCGACCGAGACGACAAAACTCGACCCGGTCGAAAAGAAGCACAAACCCGGAGCGAGCTATTCCCACAACACCCAGCTGCGAAATCACCACCTTTTCTCCTTTTCCGCCCCGTTCGTCCTCTTTCGCCTCCTCCCCCTTTGTGCCACTCATTGTCGCGCGCATCGGACGGGAGAGCACACGTACGCATGGCCGCCTCGGATCACGACCAGTATGGCTTCCACGACGATGCGGCCGCCGGGGACGACCAATCCGTCTTGTCTGTAAGTCGACCTTTGCCACTCGCGTGACAGCTTTGCTCGTCGAGACTTGGATGATTGATCAAAGTATCGTGTCGGTAGACTCGCGGTATAGAAGCATTCGGGCGCAAGGTCACGACAACAGCAAGCCATTTGATGGGTCCTCTGTCCGAGCAAGGGAACAATAATCATCACCACTACCATGGCGCCTTGGCCGAGGTCCACAAGCAGCTCCGGCGGCCAACTATCCAACGAAGCATGTTCTCCATGGCAAAAACAACGCCGACAGACATGGTCCGGTCCAAGCTGTCCACGACGGAGATCCAGCATCGCGCCCTTACGTATTTACCCGACGAACTGCTAGCGAACATTCCCGAGAGCGATAATTCCTATTCTCTCTTCCAGGGCTTCAAAGCCAGCTTCCCGGACCTGACCGAAGAAGGCAGGAAGCACCGACGGCGGGTATCGAGGGGCAGGAAGCTTTTGGAGGATACTGAAAACACTGCCGGCTCACCGCAGGCGTTGCACAATCTGAAGAAAGACAAGGCCTCGATGATGCACGAGCTCGAGATGCTGGGTGTTCGCAAGAACATGGCAAGCAGTGAGATCCGTGACATTGACAACAAGATTGCCAATTTGCACGGTATGCGCCGGATCATCCTGGACAGACTGGCCAACTTGGAGCAGGAGGAAACATTGCTGGAACATGACCGTGAGTTGCACAATCATCTGAGCTCTCAGGTGACTGGCTTGGTACTAACTAGCTTTAGTCATGGATGTCGAGACACGGTTAGAAGACGCTCAGGAGCTCGTTGACGAAGCCGAATCGATTGCGATAAACACACCCACGAAGACCGAGGAAGACCTGGCTGGTGAGGATGACTCTGGTTTCATGTCACAGTCGGTGTACGAGAAGCTCCCAACAACGGCCGGTACACCGGCATCAAAGGCAAAGAAGAGAGTGGTCCGCCGGAAATCGATGCCAATCTTGCACGAGCATTTTGAGGCAGGCACGGCTATTAGAGAAATTCGCGCGCACCAGGACACGATTACGGCTCTCGACTTTGACGCACCCTTCGGAACAATGGTGACTTCGGCCATGGACGACTCGATAAGGGTCTGGGATCTTAATGCTGGACGATGCATCGGTTTGCTGGATGGGCATACGGCCTCAGTTCGCACACTGCAGGTTGACGACAACTTCCTCGCGACCGGTGGCATGGATGCTACGATTCGACTTTGGGACTTGAGCAAGGCACACTACGACCCTCACGGAAGCCAGTACGGAAGGGACGAAGATGAAGATGGCATCGCATTTGAGAACCCCGACGATGGACCGGTCGAGCCTCCTGAAGGAAGCATGAGGGATTGCCATCTCTACACCCTACAATCCCATGTTGACGAAATTACGGCACTCCACTTCAGAAACGATACGCTCGTGTCTGGCTCGGCAGACAAGACGTTGCGACAGTGGGATCTCGAAAAGGGCCGCTGCGTCCAGACTCTGGACGTCATGTGGGCTGCAGCGCAGGCGTCCGCGTCTCTCGGCAGTGAAAGCTCCTGGAGGCAGACGAATCGGGCACCCGCGCAGCAAGCCGATTTCATCGGTGCCCTCCAAGTCTTCGAGACTGCTCTTGCGTGCGGTACTGCCGACGGTATGGTTCGGTTTTGGGATTTGCGAAGCGGACAGGTCCACCGAAGCTTAGTGGGACACACAGGACCGGTGACATGCTTGCAATTCGATGATGTCCACCTTGTGACTGGCAGCATGGACAGGAGCATCAGAGTGAGTTTGGTCCTGCTTCATTTAACCTAGGGCATTGCTAATTATGAACAGATCTGGGATCTCCGTACAGGATCTATCTACGACGCCTACGCGTACGACAACGCCATCACAAGCATGATGTTTGATGAGCGGAGAATCGTTAGCGCAGCAGGCGAAGACGTTGTAAAGGTGTACGATAAGGTGGAAGGTCGCCAATGGGACTGCGGTGCGGGCATCTCTGATGCCGAGGAGGGCAAGACTCCTGCCGTCGTGGAGCGTGTACGTGTCAAGGACGGCTACCTGGTGGAGGGACGACAGGACGGTATTGTAGGAGTATGGACATGTTAGAGTATACAGAACCCCCTTTCAACAGAGCGAATACAACGCGGTTATGACACAGGCAAAGGATGCGAAAGCAATGCAACGCTGAAGAGATGTGATGAGGTGACCTGGGTATGTTTACATATGGATGTAGAAATGCCAAAGTCTAAAGCACCCTTTTTTCGACTCCGGGAACGTAATCATTGAAGCTATGTAGCTACCCAGGTAGGAGTGTTCATCCGACATGCTCCCGAGCTAAAATGCAGGACGCAGTTGCCATGATCAGACGAAGACCCGCTCAACCAAATATCTCCAACTATTTTTTTCTCCTACCTGTGCATCAATTACCCACAACCAAACTCACCAGACTTAATCCAACTCCCAGCTCATGAGAGCCTTTTCAAGCGCAGTCAAGGAAATTCAAGAGCGAAAAGGGGGCGTGTGTGAGGGAACAGAACGAGGGCTCTTGAAAGAGAGGGAACCGAAATGTCCGTCTTTGATAATCCCGCCCTCGTCAAAGAGTGCAGCGACGCAGTGGCGTCGATCTACGCGGACGTCGTCGGCCACCTCTCTGCCGATTCCCCGCCGCTGCCACAACTGTCTAAGAGTAATGCCGAAGAACACAGTCTGGAACCCGTTGGGTCGGATATTTTGAGGGTTGTGGAGGGGTTGGCTTCGGAAGTTCTGGGGTTGTGTGCGGCAGCGGGCTATGGTGTGGATTTGAGCGACTATACAACAGCAGCACCACCACCACCGCCGTCACCATTGTTAGGAGGATCGGAGTCGGTGATTAAGCGTCTCGACGGAGAGATCGAGCGGACCTACCGCCGGTTTTACGACTATGTCTACGCGGACCTGCCGTTTTGTTGGAGGTTGTTGTACACGGAGCTGAGTCTGCTCAAGTTTTCGGCGGCGGTGTGTTTGTACGTTGCCAAGAGGGCGGCGCGGGGCGGAAAGACGGGGGAGGAGGATGGAGAGGGAGACGACGAAGAGAAAGTGCTAGACGAGCTCGTCGCCGTGCTGGACAAGGCGCGGTGTATTTTGTGGGCTCCACCACTGTTACTAACCCCTGTTCAAGACTCCCTTGTGAAAACGAGAAACGACTCGAGCTGGCAAGTCGGTGGTACAGAGAGATCGTCATGACGTTCATGAAGGCAGATCGCGCAGTGAAGCCTGCTTGGCCTCAGCACATGCAACGGCACATTTTCGACATCAGGGTCTCACCGCTCAATTGCTCCTTCCAACTGGGCAAGACTATGGTGGACTTAAGCGCACCGAGGCGTATTGTGACGTTCCTGACGTCGCTGATGACGGAGTGGCCTGCGCTCTCTGCTAGACCGTGGTCGTCGCCTGGGTACCTGATGTCGAGGACGCACGGCGGGCGGAGGCTTGTGCCTGTGGAGGTTGGGCGGAGTTATGTCGATGAGGGGTGGACGCAGGAGTTGATTCCGTTCCGGGAGCTGTTGGCGCGTGTTGTTGCGTCTGGGTCTCGGTCGACTGCGGCATCGACAACGACATCAAGAATGGGGATGACAGCGGAGACGGAGAAGGAGACAGACAAGGGCACGACGTACCTCGCCCAGCACGAACTCTTCGCACAGCTCCCGCACCTGCTAAATGACATCCTCACGCCGGACCACTGCTACACCTCGCCGCCGGCGCACCCGTTCAACAAGAGTGCTGACAAGCCGGAGCTGGACGTGCCGTTGGTGAATGCGTGGTTTGGCCCCGCGGGGACGATTACGCCGTTGCATACGGACGGGTATCATAACCTGCTGTGCCAGGTTGTCGGGGAGAAGTATGTGAGGCTATACGCGCCGCGGGATTCGGAGGCGTTGTGTCCGAGGGGGTTCGATGGCGATGACGACTTTGACGACGATGATGGGGCAGAAGGAGGAGAAGGGGGTGAGGATGGATATGGAGGGGGAGGTCAGGGGGTGAAGAAGGTGGACATGAGCAATACCAGCGCCTTTGACGTCGGCGCCGTGGAGGGCTGGGACCCGGACGCGGAGGGCCGGGATCCGATGGAGCTCGAGGAGTTTCGGGGGCTGCGGTACTGGGATTGCGTGCTGGGGCCGGGAGAAGTGTTGTATATTCCCATCGGGTGGTGGCACTACGTCCGCAGTCTGAGTGTGAGTTTCAGCGTGAGCTTTTGGTGGAACGGGGATCATTATGTTGGTCCGCAGGGGAGGGGAGACGAGTGATATCACGACTTTGAGGGGATTATGGCAAGTAAGGCAGGTTTTGTAGCTGGGGAAGAGATACCCACTCTCGTATAAGAGGTATAACAAGCCTCGGGTCATATTGTTCATTCCATCATGTCATCTACGTAAAATGTCATCATCAACTACGGAATCAGCTCGCAGCAGCAGCAGACTCATCCGCCTCGGCACTCTCCCCCGCGCCCCCCTGCGCCTGACGCCTCGCCTTGGCGCCAGCTTTCAACTTCTCCCACTTTTCGCGATACTTCTCCAGCGTCCGCGCCATCGTGCGATTCTCCTTCTCCAGCGCCTCCATGCGCTGCATCGCCATGGCCATCTGCTCCTCGAGCTCCTTATTCCGCGCCTTCAACACGGCGTCGGTGCTCGACATGCCACCACCGCCCCCACCACCGCTAGTAAAAGGAGACGCCCCGACCGTCGCAGGCGACCCGGGCCGTCGAAGACGAATGCTCTCCGCCAGCGCCAGACTTGAATTCTGCGCCGTGGCCTCGAACGCGTGGAGCCGTTTGCTGAGCTTGTCGAGCATGTCCTTGAGGCCCCTGTTTTCGAGGTAGAGCTCCTCGACGGTATTTTTGAGGTTCTGTTCCGATTTAGGTTTGGCGGCGGTTCCGCGACGTCGGACGCCGGGGGAGGTTGGCGCCGCCATCATCATGGAGGGAGACTCGCGGGCGTCGACGAAGTCGTCCTCGTCGTCTTCGATTAGGCTGTCACCTGCGCCGCCTCCGCCACCGCTGACGCCGCTGTGTAGCGAGGCCTCGAGGCGCCGCTTCTCCTTGTCGGCAAAGTTGAGGATGTTGGCGTAGGACATTGTGTGTCCGCTCGTCGGGACGACGTAGAAGGAGTCGTTGGGGTTGCTTGCCGAGATCGCGCGGAGGGTGGCGCGGGAGTAGATTTTGGAGAGGTCTGGTTCGGCGGGGGCTGCTGGGGAGGGTTTGAGCCTGTTGCTGCGCTTTGCCGGGGCAGGTTCGGGAGGCGTCTCGGCGTGGGGTTCGGGGACGGACGACGACGAGGTGACGGACGAGGATTCCTCGGTGATGAGGGGCAGGCCTGCGAAGGCGAGGGGCGCGGAGAGGCGGTTGATGATGTTGCCAAAGGTGCTGTAGAAGCGGGAGTATCCGTCGTCGCTGGCGGCGGGCGAGGCGACTTCTTCCGTCTTTCTGGGCTCCGTCTCCCTTCGCGGGGAGTCGGCCGTTGGCGGGATCCATCCCGGCTTGCCGGACTGGTCGAGGACGCTTTGCATCTTTGTCCTCGAGCCGTCCCGCCGGGGTTGGACTTCCATGTTGCCCGGCGCCTGGTCGTTTGTGACGCTCGGCGGGATGGGCTGGCTCCGGTTCCTGCTCCCGCGGATGCCTCGCGCCGAGGCGAGGTTGCTCGCGATGGAGGAGGTCATCTCGCGGCTCGGGTACCGGCGCTGCTGCGCCAGGGACGGGACGCCCTTTGCGGTGGCGACGGGGCTTCCGCCGGCGGACTGCTGCTGTTGGCCTGATCCGGACTTGGTCCGGCCATCATCGGGTGAGGAGACATCGCTCGTGGCATCGGAGGCTTGCGATTCGTGCTTCTCGTCGATGGTCTCGGAGGAAGGGTTCTGGCTGGCGGCGGCGGCGCGACGGTCAAATGGTATCTTGAGGAGTTCGGCGAGGCGCTGGTGGTGCTCTTCGAGGAGCTTTAGGGTGCGCAGGGCCTCGATGCTCGAGGTGGAGCGGGCGGCGTTGGCGAACTCGCCGGCGGCGAGGGCGTGTTCGTTGATTGCTACCGTCGTCTCGGACTGGTGCTGGGCGTTGGAGGCTGCTTTGGCATGGTCATGCGCCTGGGTGATTTGCTGTTAGAACAGTGGTTGCTAGAGACATTGTTTCACAGGTGCCTTTCAGGGCTGAGGTTACCTTGACAAGCGAAGACTCGTCCATCGCGAAAAAAAGAACTGTAGGGCTGCCTAGGTGGGCTGCCGGTAATGTGTCAAGGGACGGGGTGCCGGTGCCGGTTTGGTTTCGGAGGTCGTTTGGGGGTTGGTTTCTGCTCCAAGTCGGCTGTCCACACGTTTGCTTTTGGATCACGCGACCGCCTCAGACCGATATAGACGGTGGTAGTGGAGGGGAGGTGGAGGGATGTACGGATATGCGCCGATGGAGGTACGGAGGAGGTCCAACGAACCGGCCTCTGATGTTCGGTGGCCGGTGGTTGGGGTCGGGGGTGTTGCGGTCGCGGAGGTTTCCCCAGAGTCGCTAGAAGATGCCCCCCCGCTTGCCCTCTTCGCCGGTTGCAGTCAGGTGTGCAATGGACAATTGGTGCAGGAGCATGCGGGACAACGCTTGGTTCGCTTCCAGTTAGAAGGGGGGGCTAAGGGGGCCCAGATTGGGCGGTTGGAGTACGTAAGCTTTCCGTTCGTCAAAGCGTCGTCTTCCCGCTGAAGGCCACCCGCGCACCTTGCCAAAATCGTCAAGGTCAAAAGGAAGCAAAGAGACCGATCCCACGTCACCAGGTGCTAGTAATTGCCTCAAGCGACTTGTTGGAAGCTAGCTTTACTTACTGCGACTAATGACATCTCGATGATGTTGCTACAGAATTCAAAAGAGACTTCAGACGGCTTTTGTGAAGGGAAGTTGGTGCCGCTGTACCACAACAGGGCACACTATACAAAACACCGAAACAGTCGAGCAGATCATGATACCGTATGTATTTACAGTCAACATTCAATTGCCAAAGTATTCAAGCCACCAGTCGTCACTTGCATTGTCAAATTTGATATTTTGATAAAAAGTCAAGTAACAGCGACGCCATGTCTGGAGGGTAAGTCGGTAGGAAGTGACTCGTCAATCCAGACCGTGACGATGACAGTAAGTGCCGGAACTGAGTGAGACAGGCCAACACTTTGAGAGATTCTGAATGACGCAAAATGCATGTCAAAGGAACCCAGAAACTCGGGCATCGTGTCTGCGCGTGTTGGAACTTGGCTGCGCTGTGGCTGCCACCTGTTCCCCGCCCTAACAATCGCGAGAGGGGACGGCATTGTCCAATATCCAGTTGCGCGGTGTCTCGTCGCTCCAGAGACGAGCCTATCACGATGAAGGAAAATGAAGGAAAAAGAAGGGCGAAGCACCAATGCAAAGCCGTAGACCGTAACCCGCGAGACACGATCCGCACTTGTGGAGGCCCCTGACGTAGCTATGCTTCCCCCCCCCCGGAGCCAGCACCTGATCCAAACGGGCAACCCAACGGCCACAACCGTCCCGAATCGGGTCAGTCATCGAAACCTTGCTGGGAAAACCACCTGCAAATCTGCCAGACGTGCATGCATCGCCAGGAGGAGGAGCGCGGGCTGGCGGACTGATTCGGGCTGGGTGGGTGAGAAAGGTGGGATGAAAGGCTCCGGGCCAGCCGTTGATACGCTGGTTGGGATCTGCTGGCCTCTCTGGTTCGACCTGCCTAAGGTACGCCAGAGACCATGTGGTGCTGGTGCATCCGGCTAGAGTGGAATGGAGCTCGTCGGCCGGTGGTGAGATGTGATCTGAGCAGTGAGCCGAGACGGGAAGTCGGGAACGCAGGAGATGCTACTTGGTTCTGTTAAGAGACACTCAGCCACATACATAGGTAACTCCGTACTCTTCAGTTTGCTGGGGCCTTGGAGAGATTGACTTTGGGTACATCTGGTGGAATCATCCCGATGCAGGTCCCAGATCCCAGGTGCAACTCGCAGATGGAAAATCATGGGATGTTTGGCTGGCTGGCTGACGTGGAGATGGAATGGGGATTTGCATTTTGGGATTGCGCAGTCGCCGATAGATCCACCGAAAAGAGATGCCACTGCCCACTTCACTGAACCAAAATAGCAGCGCAGTGTCTTTCCCGGATCACGGGTGGCGGGCGTCAATCATATAATGCAGCAGTAACATGGTTTATGGGTGGCTCAGGTCCATTGGGGCTGGCCAGATTGACGGCCCCAGATTCCCGATTCTGAGAGATTCCAGGCTGCTCGTAATAATGGAGAGCTGTCGCCAAGCGGGCAGAAAGAAGCAACCGGCCTTTATGCCAATATGAGTTTGCATTTGGTTATTGTGAGGGTTATGAGGAGAGGGCGGGGACTGGGGGCAATTGGAGGAAGTGAGAACTACCTATGTAAGGTGCCATACGCCGTACAGTAGGTGCTTATGTAACGGGGCTGCACTAACAGATCAAGGTACCCCTTCCGTTTCAAGCCAAGGAGGAAGGAGGAAGGAGGAACCCGCCTGGACCAGGAACTTGCCTCGCCTCCAGTGACGATGACGCTCTTCGTGGAAAGAGAGCTCCGGCTTGGTGGTTCTTGCCTTGGTCAGAGTTGAAACTGACGACCTGGGTTTGGGAAGTGCGACGGGAAGCTCTTACCTTTGGCACGAATAGAAATCAAGGTGGCAACCAGAACCTGGACCTCCTTCCTTCTCGGGTTTTCCATCTTCATTTTCCTTTTGGGTCCCCTCGGCTCCGGCACCGTCTCCAGAGAAATTGCAAACTTTCCCATTTTCCGTGAAGTGCGAACTGCGAACTGCGAACCCATTTTTGCTCTCACCCATGGCTTGACCCATTCACTCATTCATTCATTCACCTTTTCACGTTTGCACTTTGCACCACCTTACAGGCTCACAAACAAGAAACAACAGTAAACGGGCCCCCCGTTTGCATCGCATAAACTCGGAAAACGACAAAACACCCGCGGCTTCGTTTCCGAATAATTCACCGTCATACACAAACAATACACAAGGTCTACAGATACACTCTACGGAGTACACCCCTACCTCGCATCGCACCTCCCTACGGATCCTCTCCAAGCTTGTCTTGTCTTCTCGACCTTAATTTCCATACTGCCAATTCCCTGCACCCGCGGACCATGATCATCGTGCCCACTATTCGCAACCAATGCGCGTATAGCCTTTGACAGCAACAACCCGCCAGACTGCAGACACACATTGCTCGGGAAAGAGTACGAAAATTGCGAGCTTCACGATCCTAGGAAATCACCAGAACCCTGGCCCGGGAAACCATGGACACCGCCAATGAAAGCGGAGGAGCTCTGAGCAAGCTGCTACCAAAGTCAATTGCTGCCAAGCGCCGCCGCAGAAAACAAGAAGCCCAAGAAGATGAAGCCGCTGCCGCCACCGCCGCTTTGCTGATAGGGGTCAAGGGGGAAGAAGTTACCGCTCCAGCTGTTACGCCTCCAGCACTCAGAGACGACGATGCCAGCCATCTGTCCAACAGACGCGACAGCGGCTCTTACGTCCATGACACGGACAGCTTTGCATTGGAAAAAGACGGCTCGACAGGGTTTCCCGACTACGACTACGGCCACTACCCCGAGCACGGCCACGCCGCCCACGACACCCGCGACGCGGACGATGCCAGCACCGAGGAAGCCACAAGCATGCCGTCGCTGGACGAACCTGATATTGACGATCTTCAGTGAGTAGTGTTACTTTCCCGCATGTTTTGTCTCTCTTCATCTCTACTAGTTACCTTCACCTTTTCCTGCTTATTCCTTATCCCGTCTTGCCTACACTACCTATGCACACGGTTGGGGCTGGCTTCTATGCACCCTCATCCTTCAATTCTTCCCACCACCTTACATATGTATGCATCCGAGCGCACTTGTTCCGTGCTCTTCACCACCACCTCACAAGGCCACGTCTTTTCGCGTGGCGCATTCCCCCCATCGTTCAAAGTCGTCACTGGTGTCTCCATCGAATGACGAGGCGAGCTACGAATAGTACCTAGCTGCTATTATTGCGGGTGCTGCGCAACTCGGCCCCAGTCTGCTGGCACAACCCGCAACGGCGCCGTCTCTCTTTTGTGCATATCAAGTGGAGAGACAGAGAAAGGACAGCGGGCTTAGCGTCCGTAGTAGGCTGCTCTGGCCATCCTTGGTCTGACAGTTCTCACTGGTCCGGGGGGTTCTGGGACTGGGAGACTAGCAGACTCGGAGAGGAGGGGGGGCTGATGCGCTCTCCTCTCCTCTCTCTCTCTCTGCTCCGTGGCCCATGGGTCTCAGCTCCCCCTCATCCACTCTCTGCGGCAATCGCCGTATGACAGCTGCCTGGGGGTCCCTTCAGCACATTTAACTCGTGTCCCTGACGAATGTTCCATTTCAAGCGAGTGCGAACAAACGGGGTCAGGGTCGTCCATGTCTCCCCCGACCACCTCCTACTGTTTCGTCTCTCCATGTAACCATCCATACAATACCAACTATCTAACCACGACGATTTCCGCCCCCTCTCATTAGATCTCTTTCTCAGCACTCTCGACCAGGTGCCATATCGACACATCCTTCGCAAATAGGTTACTTGACCACTTCTTCCCCTATTGTTCAGGCAACTCATTTGCCTGAACCCCAACCGCAGATACTGGACGACCAACTCTCCCAGATCGCCTCGGCGCGATCCACTCTCTCCTCTGCCAAGCGGACGCAATCCGTCGAGTCGTCGACAGATTCTTCTTTGCGCTCCAAACGCAGTTTCACAAGTCTTGTGCCACCCAAGAAAAACACCACGAGATCGCCATCCCCCGTTGGCCGTCTCAAAGGTGTTTTTACAAAGTCAAAAAAGACTCCCAGTGCCGCCACAAGCCCCGACCGGTCCCTGGGCGGTGACGAAACCCCCGACCACGACCGAGACACGCGGAGAACAAGAGACCGAGGCAGAGCCACTGCTTCCACCTCTGACCTCACCACAACCACAAAGCCGTTTCTAGACAATTCGACCCCGCCACAACCGGATGCGACGAGCGACGCAGATGCATCTCGCGTAAAACAATCAACAACGCATTCGCCTGAGCGACGTCGCTCCAGAGCCTCCACAAACACATCTCGAATCGACACCTCCTTCGTACCCCAAACCCCGCCCAACGCCGACAAGACGCCCGTCATTGTCAACACCCCTCCGACACCGACCGACCACAACGCACCCTACGCTCAATCTCCTCCGCCGGCCCCAGCTCCGCAGCCCGCTCCCGAGGTTTCTGTCACTGCCTCAGGCAACACGAATGGTGGTTCTGCCACGGGTACTATGCTTGCTCACCGCAGGGGTAGATCAGGATCTGGAAGTATAGGGCCTAGCAAACTGTCCAACATCACCCTCGCGCCTTTGACGCCCACACCCGAGAACGGGACCGCAAGCAACCCAGGAACTCCATCTGGCGGAAGCGGCTTCTTTTCATCCGTCTTTTCGGCTGCGCAAAACGCCGCGACCTCGCTCACAAGTACCATCCAGAATACCGGCATAGGACCAACCCCTCCCAAGAACAAGAACGTAGCTAAACCCCCCGATATCAAGATCGACGAGCAGCCCGAGGTCGAGCCGCCACCTCCATCCGCAACAGGCTCGACCATGGAGAAAGAGCCAGCAGTCAAGACCATTGGGTCGGGCGAGCTAAGCCTCAGTCAATTAGGTATAACGGACACAGCCAGCAATGCAGGAACGCCCATTACAGCAAAATTCCCCGAATCGGACGCACGAGCTAGAAGCGAGTCAGCCCCGACAGACGCTGCCTATGCCGCTGCCACGCGCGACCTCGGAGTAGACGACGGCCGAAACGCGGCGAGACCCCAATCACTGTACGATCCAGGAAGTGCCGGGGACCGAACCCCTCCGCAAGGCAGCATACACGAAGACAAGATTTCAGGAGTCCAACGAAGTGGAAGTATTCGAAGCGCCATTGGACGCCATCGCAAGCGAGGAAGCTCAGCTGTGTCGGGAGGTACGGCTACTACTATTGGCGCTGCCATTGCTGCGGCTAACGCGTCTCTTGCTCACCCTCAAGCCAACGCGAGCGTACCGAAACTTACGGGATTCGCGGTTGCGAGCAAGAAGCGCAATCGAGATTTCCATGGATTTTTCAAGAGCGTGCCCGACGACGATTACCTCATCGAAGACTACAGCTGTGCGTTGCAGCGCGAGATCCTGGCGCACGGCCGCCTGTACGTATCCGAAGGCCACTTGTGCTTTAGCAGCAACATCCTCGGCTGGTCGACCACGCTTGTCATGAGCTTTGACGAAATAGTAAGCGTCGAGAAGCGCAGCACGGCCCTGGTTTTCAAGAACGGACTCATGATCACGACCCTACATGCCAAGCATATTTTCGCCAGCTTCACCAGTCGAGACTCGACTTACGACCTGATTGTCAATATTTGGAAACTTGGTCACCCGACCCTGCAAAGCTCGCTGAACGGAGTGCAGCTCGAGGGTACTGGCGGTGATAAGACAGAAAAGGTTGACGCGAATAGTGCTGTGGTAGCAGATGTTGATGATGGTAGTTTGTCCGGCACCGATGAAGAGAGTGATTCTGGCGATGACGACGACGTTTACGACGAAGATGACGACGCGGAGGACTTGCAAGATGTCACGCAGCTGTCAGAAGTCAACGCTGAGCCCGAAGGCGGAAAGACCGTATCCCGCAAGGTATCTGGCGCAGGTGCTAATGGCGCTGTGGCCGATGTCGTCAAGGAGGCTGTTGGTGCTGCTCCTGGCGGCAATGATTTCCCTGGCCCGGCCACTCATGCGCCAACCGACTGCGGAGACTCTGACACGCATTACGACAGGGTTGTCGGCGACGATGTCATTCCGGCGCCCTTGGGCAAGGTGTATAACTTGCTCTTCGGCCCAGCCTCGGTCACCTGGATGACAAAATGGCTCACTGTTGAGGCCAAGTGCACAGAATTGACCATGGAAGACAAGAAGGGGCTGACTCTCGACAATAAGTCTCGGTATTTCACTTACATCAAGCCTCTCAATGGCGCCATCGGTCCGAAGCAGACAAAATGTCTTGTGACGGAGACTTTAGATCATCTTGATTTTGAGAAAGCCATCAACTTTAGCGTCACTACACAAACCCCAGATGTACCGAACGGCAACATTTTCAGCGTCAAGACAAAGTACTGTTTGACGTGGGCCGACAACAACTCTACCAGAGTGCAATCCAACTGCACTATTGAGTGGACGGGCAAGAGTTGGTTGAAGGGTGAGCTGAACCTGTCTTCTACATCACTGGCATGAACTAACATGATGAAGGTCCAATCGAAAAGGGGGCCAACGATGGCCAGACTCAGTACTGCAAAGACCTCTTTGCCAGTCTGAAATCAGCTGTGTCGACTAAAGCCCGCGCTGGCGGTGCGGGAGCGGGCTCAGGCCCCAAGGGCAAGAAGAAGAGCAAGAAGAGCAAGGCGGCCGGCTCAACAACAGACGCCGAGGACGAGCAGGTTCGTCCCAGACATGTTCCCAAGACAAATTGGGGCCCATTGGAGCCTGTCCGCGGCATTCTCGAGCCAGTTCTCGACATTGCCAAACCACTACTCACGGGCAACATGATGTATGGTCTCCTAGTTGGCCTTCTCGTTGCTACGTGGTTTGGCTTTGGCTTGCCTGGCAGACAAGCGTCTGGAGACATGCGCATGTATGGTTATCCGGATCGTCTTGCGGCGTACGACGAGATGTGGAGGCGCGAAGAGAGTGAGCTTTGGGAGTGGCTGGAGGAAAGAGTTGGGTTGGAGCGCTTGCACGAAGGCAGCTTGCCCATTCGGAAGCGAGCAATGGAGCCAAGCACTGTGGAGGAGAGGGTCAGAGAGGATCGTATGGATGAGCGTGAGATTGAAGAGGCAATCAAGGTGACGGAAGAGAAGCTTAAGGTGTTGAAGGGCGTCATGGACAAGAAGAAGCCAACATCCGGTTGAGGAAATACCCTAGGAACGGGAGGCGGAAAAGTGCAGCGAGTCAGGTTACGGCACGACACAACGTGTCTTCTCATTTCTATGTTTTATTGTGTAGCATATTCAGTAGCGATGCCAACGAGCAATCAGGGCTTGAGTAGATCAGCATCAGCAATGTCATTTTATATCGATAACCCACTGGTCAGTCTCGCTGCGAGGTCTTTTGATGTTGCACACGTTGCTGCAGTAAGAACTCTGAACCGACCATGTAACGATAGATGCGAAGTTGCGGCATGGCCAATTGTCTTCAGTGCTGGTGCGATCCCCTGACTTATTGTGAACGCAAGTTTCCTGATGGGGAGTCCGGGGGCAAGGGCTGTCTTATCTGTTACTTAACTTTGAAGGCAGACACAGAAGACTATTGCTTGCTCCAAAGCTTTTGGATGCACCAATCAAGCGAGTAGGTAGTAGTAGCTTCGAAGAGCTGCATCCTCATGCCTCTTTCTGTCCGACCTTCTCACTTTTGCCGGCAGTAGGGACACGATGGGAAGGGGTCATCTCAACGTGATCCTGCGGAAACCGCCCTTCGTTCTTACATACTCGTTCACCTGACCTGGAAGGCACGCTTCTACCAATCGTCTGACCTTTGAGCAGCAGGTGTCTGCCTACCTTCATCTTGTTCTCGTTTGCCACTTCACAAACCTCGAAGACGCAGCTTGCCTCCATCGAACACGACAACACAATCCGTTTTCCTCCGCCAACTATCCAACATTGTCTCGAGTTTATTCTTCGTGTCCTCGTGCTTTTGTCTACTATTCCATCACCTTCATTCTTCACTACTCAAGGTTACTGATATCAGAGACAATTTACGGAGGGAGAATCAACATGGCAGGCAAACACAACCACCACAACGGCGACAACCCTGCCAGTGTGTGGCTCCGCGACGATGCCTGCATGCAAACTATTGAGAAACTCCGCGTTCTCGGCGTCGCCGACCTTATTCCCCTGCCGCAAGTTGTCGTGGTAGGTGACCCGTCTTCGGGTAAGAGTTCTGTCCTGGAGTGCATGACGGGTTTGGCCTTCCCCCGCGGTCCTGAGCTCTGCACCCGTTACGCGACCCAAATCGCTTGTCGCCGCGATGCCTCCGAGACCGTCCGGATCTCTATCGTTCCGAGCCAGGATTCCAACGAGGATCGAAAGGTGCGACTGAAGAAGTTTGGTTTCTCTGTTAAGGAGAACGACCTGGAGTTGGCGGATGTCTTTATGAAGGTAAGTGAAACCCGCGTTGGGAGGCCACCGTTGTGATGCTGATAAGTACGACCTCCCTCAGGCGAACGAAGCCATGGAACTTCGCGATATCAACGATGGGGACGCTTCAAAGCTACCGGTCTTTGCTGAAGACATTCTCAAGATTGAGATCAATAGCCCGGACGTACGTCCAACTCCGATATTGTCGATTTGTAAAACTTGCTGACCTTGGAACGCCAGCAATATCACTTGACTATCATCGACGTCCCGGGTATTTTCCGCACGCCTACAAAGGGCATGACCACCAACGATGACATTGCTATCGTCAGAAACATAGTCAACAGATACATCAAAGATCAGCGTACCATCATTCTGGCAGTCATCCCTTGCAATGTCGACGCATCAACCCAGGAGGCTCTCACTCTTGCCAAAGAAGTCGATCCAGAGGGGCTTCGAACTATAGGTGTTCTCACCAAGCCCGACCTTGCCACCGAGCGCGTCACTCAGCAGATCGTATGCGAACTTATTGAGGGTAAACGCCATCCCCTCCGCCTCGGATACTGTGTGGTGAAGAATCGGAGCGACGACGAAGGAACCTCAACGAAGACAGACCGAATCTCATCGGAGAAGGAGTTCTTTTCTAAACGTCCGTGGAACAGGATCAAATCGACATTTCGGATTGGTGTTAGCGGCCTCGGTATCCGTCTGCGAGAATTGCTTGGCGACCTTTTCAAGAAGGATCATAAGTACATCGAGGCCAAAATACGTCATAGACTCAATAACACTGAGACTTTTCTCAGTCGCCTAGGTCCTTCGCGATCTCGAGCGGATGCTCAGCGACGATACCTTGCCAATATTGCGTCAGGTTTCCAAGAGGTTTGTATTCGAGCTCGAGACGGAAATTACAGCGGAATGGGTATGTTCCAAGACGACGTACACTTTCGACTCATCACATGCATCGTCAATCTGAATGAGTCATTCAATAAGGACCTCACATCGTGTGGCCATACACTTGAGTTTGACGGCCAAAGCGAGGAGGAAGTCGGTCCTGGTCCTGGATTCAGGGTACCTATGGACGAGCAGTCAACTCATTGTCTCGGTGATATCCTGAAGCATATGGATTACGAATGCCCCAAGCCAGTACAAGGCTTACTTCTGGGCCGTATTGAAAATCTCTTTCATCGATCTCGCACTGCCGAGATTGGCTCGGTAAGTACTATTCTGATAACACATCATGCTCAGCATTAACAAAAGTCTAGTTTCCAGGCTCATTGCTAGCACAGGCCTTCAAGGAGCAGACCCAGAGGTGGGAGCCCCTGGTTTTGAAGCATGTTAGTCAGGTGATCGTGGTCATTCACACGTTCATTCGCCTAACACTGCAACACAAATGGGAAGGCGACAGCAACACATTTGAGATGTTGCATAACCACCTTCTGTTGCCCAAGCTCCGTGCAGCTTATCAGCGAGCTTTGGATCATGCTCAGTTCCTCCTTGAAGTCGAGCTTAGTGGACAGCCCTACACCATGAACCACTACTTCGACATCAATCTCCAAGTTTCACAGGCCACCAGACTTCAGCAAGCGATCAACAAGACCATTGGCCCGGAGAGCGTCCGAAACGTCGATGGCGCTACTGCAAGCAAACCGAGCACGAACGCAAGTCCTGCTTCCGGAGAAAACACGCTGGGAGCGAACAAAAACAACGGAAGTCCCTTCAATTTTACGTCTCAGCAAGAAGACGGGTCTTCCGGAGCTGCAGGCTGGTGGGTGCCAAAGTCAATGCTCTCCAAGCTTACAACCGATCGTTCCAACGCTAAGCAGGTCAGAGAGGATATCCACGACGCCCTCCGTAGCTACTACATGGTCGCTCGGAAGCGATTCGTTGATGTTGTGCTGCAGCAGGTCATATTTCACTTCTTGCTCGATTCCAAGACCAGCCCTCTCAAGATCTTCACCCCTGACCTGGTCATGATCCTAGATGACACGATACTCAAGATTATTGCCGGAGAGAACGCAGCGATGCGGGATAGACGCGAGGCTCTCGCTCAAACCATTTTTAACTTGAACCTCGCGCTGCAGGAGCTGGAAGATACCAAGTAAGATTCCCTAGGGATTCACGTTGTGTTGGTTTCCAAAGTTTTCGGGTTTCCATAGGTACCATGGCTTACTAGGTATGCATCATCAACCCTGCATCGTAGAGTTACAGAAAAGAAATTGTGGTTTCCGTCCGTTATCGTTTCAGCCTTGTGGCAACAGAGCCGATGCAAGTGAAAAGAGCGTGTGCTCCTCCGTATTTGGGTGATACTTTCAAGGAGGCTTTCTAGTAGCCAAGGATGTGACAAGGTGTCTTGTCGCTGGGTAATTATCTTATGTGTAACACATAGCGATGACCCAAATTGCTTCTGCTCGACCCGACCATCATGTTCCTGGGGACGCCTATCCCTTCAACGAGGGTTTGCTTGGCGTACATCATGTCGTTGCTGTAAATCGTGAATAACGAAGAAAGAAGGAAATCACGAAGCAAGAAACCGGTCACAATCTCGAACCAAAGCTTGAATTTCCCGCAGGCTGCCTACCAGTTGGCCTGGTTGCCAGTGTCTGCGGGCGCATGCCGCCGGCTGAAGTAGACGTCTGGCTTCGTACTGAGTCCGACTGCGAGGCTGGCGAGGTGGTCAAGAATATAGTCAGCATTGGGGATTTGCTTGATTATTGAGCGGTGTCGAAGTTTGCAGACGGCTTCTATGGGACAGGGTGCTATGTGGGCCAGTGCGAAGATGTGGTTTTCTATCTCAGTCTGACCACCGGTCCACGGCGTGCAACCAGTCGGCATTGTCGTGGCGGGGCCGAAGTAAATCACAAATCAGTCGCAGAGATCCTTCGGCTCTCTCTGCATCGTATTCTAAGGACGACTGGAGATACAAAGAGTTTGACGCCCTGGATTGTGAACGCGGACCTCTGTTTTCAGTAGTGTTCGTGGCACTACTTACTTTTGCATCTGGCTTTGAGTTTTCAGGCCAGGTAGAGGGCCTACATAATCTTGCACCCAATAGGTCAGCTATGTTGTCTGATGTCTCAGCGTGGCGTAATTCCGTATAAATATGGCACTTCCAGCTGCTTTTGTGTAACGTCAAACTTTAAACCAGCGTCTTAGTTCTACGGAAACTAGAATCTTATTAGACATGTTTCTATTAATCCTATTACATGGCGACCCAGCTCACGCAAGAGCAATCATGCCGACCTCATCTCTCTTCTCAAAAAGACGTGAAGCGCAACATACGACACCACACCCGTAAAACACAACCCGCTAATAACGCCGAATCCCATCAGATATTTCGGCGCGTCCTTGGACGGGAACAGGTATGCCCCGTAAATCTGCGCCAGGTTGCCCATGGCGTTCACAAACGCCAGCGAAATCGCCCGCGTCTCGTTGGGCATGGACCCGAAGCTCACCGAGGCGTACGAGAGCGCAAGCCCGTTGGAGGCCCAGAGGCCGGAGGCCATGACGACGAGCAGGGCGTAGCGCGCCCTGAAGTCGTAGACGACGCAGGTGACGACGGCGCAGAGCATGGCGACGGTCATCCAGGCGCCGAGGATGAGGCCGCGGAAGCGCGAGTGGCGGTCGGCGAAGTAGCCCGTCACGGCGGTGGAGACGAAGGCGATGCCGAAGATGGGAATGGTCATGTATTGGGCGGCGGTGGATTTGTAGCCGAGGCCTGAGACGAGGGTCGGGTAGAAGTAGGAGAGCGTTGAGGAGCCGACGATAGCCTGTGGAGGAAGAGGAGATGTTAGCTTTTCCTGACTCCTTTGGTCTTGAAGATAAAAGGGGAAGGGAGGGGGTTGTTTGCGGGTTCAACTTACCATGTAGCCAACGACAAAGAGCCAGGTCCTCCAGCTCATCATGCTGAGCTTAAAGGCAGCCCAATGTCCCAGCCGAGGCTCCTCTTCCGTCCTGAGATGTTCCGCCGCGCTCTGGAGCCTCCGAATCGCCAGCTCCCTCTCCTTTTCACTAAACTTCTTCAACGAAGTATTCGCCGGGAAGTCAGGCAGCGCAAAAAACGCAACCAGCGCAGCGCCCACCGTCGCGGCCCCCTCGACGACAAACAACCACCGCCACCCGGCGATCCCATGTGCCCCGTCCAGTCCGCTGGTAATGGAGCCGGCCAACAACCCGCCAAAGGCGCCCGACAAGATGGCCGCAGAAATATAGACGGCGAACCTCTTGCTCTGCTCCTCCTTTTTGTACCACGAGGAGAGAAGCAGCAAGACGCCGGGGGCGAAGCCGGATTCGAGGACGCCCATGACGACGCGGAAGCCGATGAGGGCCTTGTAGGTGGGCGTGAAGGCCATGCCGATGGTGACGGAGCCCCATAGGCACATTATGCCGGGGAGGTAGAGGGAGGGGTGGGTGCGGGTTAGGACCATGTTGGAGGGTACCTCGAAGAGGACGTAGCCTACGAAGAAGACGACGAGGGCGATTGAGTAGCGGGAGGAGTCGAGGTCGAGGTCGCGGTCCATGCCGGCGATTTTGGCGTTGCCGATGCTGTGGATATTGTCAGTTTAGGGGGGTTCGAGGTTGTGTTTTGGTGTGAGAGCGTACTTTGTTCTGTCCATGTAAGACAGGAGATACTGGGAACCATCGATGTTAGAAGCGTTTTTTGTTTAGAGAGAATTATTCTGATCGAGTTACGAACCATGACGAAGATTAGAGGAAGCAAGTAGAGGTCAATCTTGCGGACCAGTTTCTTCTCTTCGTCGCTGTCGGGGACGTAGTCGTCTACGCCCACCAGCTCCACGCTCTTGGAGAGAGCATGTTCATGCTCGTTGCTTGCAGTCTCGTTCTTCTCCATTGCCGGTGATGTTTTGTCGGTTGACTGGGAGTTTTGGAAAGTTAACAAGGCCCAATAACACTCTCGAAATCTTCAAGAGGACTATTGGATAGGAGAAGTATAGAAGCAGAGTTCCAAACAGATGCCCAGAGTTGCCGATCGAAAGCCAACCGAAATCAACTGGCAAGTAAAAGTGTCTTAAGTATTTCGAAACTGTCTCCCTTTCTCTCGCATAATTGCTTTCGGCCGAGGAAACAGTAGACAGGCTTGCTACCGATAGCGTCCGAGTAATACTTGTCAGCTTTGATGAAAAGTTGCCTTGGTGGTCTTGAAGTGCGGCGTGCCGCCCTTGCCAGCTTACACGCGACTTGTCTAGAGGCAGCCTGGTTTCGTATGGTGGTCGTACGACCAACGAGGGTTCGTAGATCATCTGAACTAAGTCATTTGGCATGTTTTCTCCCCCAATCTGGGGAACCGGGGGGCCCTCAGACGAATCTTCCGAATTTTGCGGGGTCTGGGGGAGGGAGACCCCGGAAGGGCAATCAACTAGCAAACTAGCGCAAGTCAGATGGAGGGCGTGCTGCCGCGACTCGGGGACAATGGAAAATAATGGGGCTGGGAGTAATCGAAACTAGCCCAGTTCTTGGAAGGACCGCGTCTCGAGGCAAGCGGGTTTCCAGGAATGGGTTGCAACTTGCAATGCAAACACCGGCTCGTGGGTTATTTGTCGTGTGTGTAGCAAGTTGAGAAACATGCGGCTGTAAGTGACACAACACGGTCCGGAGTTACCACACGATGACCCGTCTACAGCCGATCCGGAAGCTGCATCCGCACCGGACCGCGTGTCGGGAGCCTCCTGGTGTTCGATCTCCGAGGAACCCCACGGCGCCGGTGAGTATTGCGTTCAACAACGTTCCCCTCGCCCGTTCCTCTGTTTACTTAAGGCAAGGAAAGGTATTCTGTATCTCTCAGCTTACGATACCATCTACAAGTCAATTCACCAGCTCTGTTAGTCGTTGCATCTGAATCAAAGCCGGCTTCAATCTTTCTGTTCTGCGCATCACACACATCTACATCTTCACAATGACTGGCTCATCTGACCAAAACGGCAACGGGACCGCCGCAATCCCCACCAACGGCACCACCAACGGCACAAACGATGCCCCGGCCTACCTCAGCACGCTGCCTCCAGCCGGCGCTGACTGGAAGGTCTCTCTCAAGGACAAGGTCATCGCAAGTAAGTATCCTGACGAAATACAAAGCAGAGAGGTCGTCCATATACTTACGCCGTCCACAAAAAGTTTCGGGTGCAAACCAGGGCATCGGCCTAGGCATCGCAGAAGTCTGCCTCGCCAACGACGCCGCATGCGTGTACAGCCTGGACATCACCGAGCCGGCGGAGCACTTCGCCGCCCTGCTCAAGCGGTTCCCCGGCAAGCTCGCGTTCCAGCACTGCGACGTCACGGACTACGCGAGCGTCGCGGCGGCCGTCGACGCCGTGGTGGCCGCGACGGGCCGCTTCGACGGCATGGTCGCCAACGCCGGCGCGACCAAGCACCAGCCCGCGCTCGACTTCACGCCGGAGCAGTTTGACCGGCTCTTCAAGCTCAACGTCAACGGGTCTTGGAATTGTGCGACGGCCGCCGCGAGGGCGTTTATCAAGCTCGGGTGTAAGGGGAGCATCGTCTTCACTGCGAGTATGACTTCGTACAGACCGAACCGGGTAAGTCCTTGTGCGTGTGGTGGTTGAGGTGGTGGTTGAGGTGATGAAGACGAGGGTTTCCTTGACTGACTTTTTTTGGTGCTTCATAGGCTGCTCCCTCTGCACCGTATGGTGCGACCAAGGGTGCCATCCGCAACATGACACATACGCTGGCCATGGAGTGGGCCGAGCATGGCATCCGTGTCAACTCAATCTCGCCTGGCTTCGTCAAGACTGCGTTGACGTATTACGTCGAGACCTCGCCTGACTGGGACACCAAGATGAAGTATTACGGTGGGATGCCGCGTCTGGCACTGCCTCAGGAGCTGGGCGGCGCCTACGTCTACTTGTTGAGCGAGACGGCTTCTTACACAACAGGTATCGATATCCCCATAGCAGGCATTGTTGGTGCTTGGTAGAGAAAGAGAGATAGAAAAGATACCCGGTCCCAATGTTAAGAGAATCAATGACGTATTATGAGCAGATTGATGCATGGGCAAATAGTTGATGTATTCGAGGAGCTCGGGAAGGTGGAATCTTTCCCTGATGGCTGAGCACTGAAGGGAATTCATCAATACAAACATATACTTTGGTAGTATGCGAACTTTTGACTATCTAGCCGTCGTTGATCCTTACAACTCAAATTAGTCTTCAGGGAGCGGCGATTCCCTAAATCCCGAAGTTCCTTCAAACTCTTTCTGAGCTTCCACGTCACCTCAGACAGTCTTTAAACCTGAAGTATCCCACCGGCGTCACGATGATCTGCACGGTACCATTTATAGACTGCGGTGAAATGACGACAAAATGATTGGCGCCCGGGCGCCTGCTAATTATGCTAGTATTCACTTAGCCCCTCAATGGAAATGCTCTGTAACATCGATCACAGCTCAGTAGTATCTCAGTTACAGTGCGGAGCCAGGCTATGTCCGAAAGTCCGTTCGACGTTTGGTCAAATTCATCGTTTCTATGTCTAGCTGTTTGGACACTCATATTATCATGAGGTTTCTCTGCCGGGCCCGAAATCAATATAAATGCTGCCATTTCCGTAGCAAATGTCAATCCCTTTCCCAACAAGTCAGCATCAGATCCATCTCCATCATCTCATTACCACTCGAGTCAACAACTATTCCAACATCTCGAAGTCACACACATTTGCGCAATGACGCTCCTTGACAACGCCACCTCGAGCACGCAAGCCGCAGCCGGCCAATATGAAGGCTTCAGAGACTATCAACCGCATTTTCTATTGGGCCTTGCCTTGGTCGTTATACTATATGGCTTCCTGCGCAACGACGACGCCAGGAAACTGCCCATCATCAACCCACAGAAATGGTTTCAACTGACCGCCTCCGAGTCTATTATGTCGTTTGCCTTAGCTGGGCGGGAAGTTCTCGAAGAGGCCAGACGAAGATTCGGGGCTACGCCGTTTCGCGTCTTGACGGACCAGGGGAAATTCATCATGCTTTTGCCGCAGCACGGCGAGGAGATCCGTAACGATCCTCGCTTTAGCGTTGATGAGCCTATCATTGAAGTAAGCTACAAAATCCATATCTTCTGACTACTCCGTCAATTTCACCATCCCATCGCTCTGGATGTTTAAATGATGACATGGGTTGGTGTCGTGTTGCTGACAAGAATTCATTGTGCAGTTATTTCAGGCCAAATATCCTGGATTTGAACCTTTCATGGAGGGCGCCATTCCTACAAAGCCTCTGCAAAATGTGGTCAAATTACGTGTTACAAAGTCTCTAGGTTAGTTTCTGATGCTTCCTCCCTATTCTGTCGATGAAAACCTGACTAACAAGAGAACACTACCGCAGCGAAGGTCACCCAGCCTTTGTCAGATGAATGCGCAGTGACACTTCAAGAGTTTCTTGGTGACACAAAAGGTTCTGCAAACATCTAAAGACTTGGTCAAAAAGTAGAGCAAAGACTGACACTGAAGACAGAACCACAAGAGATTGTCCTCAGAGACTTGATCATCCGCCTCATTTCGAGAATGTCAGGTCGCGTATTCGTCGGCGAGAACCTGTGCCGTAACGAGCGTTGGCTTGACCTCGTCATCAACTATGGCGAAAACAGCGTCTTGGGTATGCGTAAACTGCGCCTCTGGCCAAGTTTCCTCAAGACCATGGCCACCAACTGGATTCCCGAATGCAGAGACCTCAAAGCTCAGGTAAAGGAGGCCTGGGATCTCGTCGCTGCGGAGCTGGAGGCGCGGCACGCTAAGAACGATGGCAAGGAGTATAACGACACCATCTACTGGTTCGAAGAGCTCGCTGCTGGGAAGCCGTACAACTTTGGGGCGTCGCAGCTGATGCTGGCGGTCGTGTCTATCGGCACGACGTCTGATCTCATCGCGCAAACCTTGGTCGATATATTTCAGCACCCCGAGCTGATTGAGCCGTTGAGAGAGGAGATTACCGCATGTCTCGAGAAAGAGGGGTGGAAGAAAACGGCGCTTTACAACATGAAACTTCTTGACAGTGTTCTCAATGAGAGCCAGCGCCTTAAGCCCAACCAGATTTGTAAGTGATCAAAATCCTCCAAGATCCGATTCGGTACCAGTACATAGTATTTGGCTGACGAAAATTTTCGGTAGCCTCGATGTTTCGGCAAGCCACCGCCAACGTCACTTTGTCCGACGGCACCAAGATTCCAAAGGGTCACACTGTCGCAGTCTCGACTGAACGAATGAGAGACCCGGCATTCTACGAGAACCCCAATGAGTTTGACGGCTACCGTTTCCTACGTATGCGGGAGAGCGGTAAGCCGGGGCAAGAGGCTGCTGCTCAGCTGGTGACCACGAGCGTCAACCATCTTGGCTTCGGCCATGGGGAGCACGGCTGTCCGGGACGCTTCTTCGCGGCCAGTGAGGCAAAGATCACCATTGCTCATCTGCTCCTGAAGTACGATTGGAAGTATGACAACTCGTACAAGATTAAGTTGCGGAAGCACGGATTTGCGGAGGAAGTCGACCCCGACCTCAAGGTTACTTGCAAGCGCCGAGAGGTGGAAGTTCCTTTGTAATGTGCTGGATTAGAGCTGCGGGAAGTTTGTCATATAGAGTTTCTTTGTGGTATGGGAAATCGAAATTGTACGTAAGCTTAGAGCCGAATGCACATAGGATCGGAATACACAGTAAAGATTAAGTGCTTCATATACCCCCCAAAGTCCAAACCTCTCACCAGCCAGCAGGCGCCCGTCTAGGTCGACGGGTCAGGTCAAACTGGCTGGGTGGTGGAGTGATTTATGGTCAACAATCAATTCATATGCCAACTAGCCTACTCGACGACAGGCTTAACGATCGAGTTCGAGTCCCGGAATGAGCACCAAGAGATGTAGCCCCCAATCGCCACCGGGGAGGTGAACTCTTTTTTGTAGTCTCCATGACCTTTTGGCTCTGATATCAGGTGACTAGCCGCCAGGTGCCGTGCACTTTTCCTACCAAGATATTTCTGTTCGGACCGTTACCCCCTACCGTTGTCCTTCAAGCCTTGATCCCACCCGACTGCTTCAAATCATAATCATCAATGACCTTGACCTTTGCTGCTGATGCAGATGTCTTTAGACAACAATGTCAGCTCTTAAAGGCGCTAAGATGTAAAGGGGGCCATAGTCTCAACTTACAGGATCAAACTCGTATCCCAACCACTCACCAACCAACCGCCTCGCAAGCTCAACTCCAATAACGCGTTGACCGAGACACAGCACCTGCGCATTGTTGCTCTTGACTGCTCTTTCCACTGAAAAGCTGTCGTGCGCCGTCACTGCCCGGACGCCGGGGACTTTATTCGCCGAGATGGCGACGCCGAGCCCCGTGCCGCAGATGAGGATAGCCCGGTCGACCTTGCCGCTGGCGACGGCCTCGGCAGCGGCAAGAGCGAAGTGTGCGTATGCCGTCTTATCTGTCGCAGAGTTGGGACCGAAATCTACGACTGTGCTTACTCGAGGGTCAGCTTCCAGATCCTTGGAGATTGTGGCCTTGTAGTCGAAGCCGGCGTCGTCGCCGCCCATGGCAATACGGAGACCGTTGGTTACAGCCATTTTTAAAGTTCGAGGAAGAGTACTGCAGAAGAAGAAGTATTATTGGCTTGCTTGGTGTCAACCAAAGCTCGGTAAGATGAAGGAATTTGCAGAGGAGTACCAAGAAAGAATGAAGCCGCGTTCACGGATGAAGCGACTAGCAAATGACGGGGTTTCGCTGACTGGTTCAAATGTCGCGAGATTGAAACAGACTGAATCCTAGGTCTCACCATTCCCAGCACTTGATCAGACAGCAACCGGATGTTATTGATGTCTGTAAGGCATTGACATAAGCTTGTGCATGGGTAATCAGTCCGCGCCTCGGGGCCGGTGGGGCTGGCGACCGCGAGTCGTGGGCACACGCCGGCTCGAGACTTCCCCTAGCTTAGTGTGATTCTCAGGGCACCGAGGCAGTGGCACCGGATCACAACGCTTATTGGGAGGCAGTATCAAGCGTGAAATCGCTTCATATAGACAGGAGGCTATTTCGACTTACATGAGGCTTTTTTAGCAACTCAAACTTCATTGTTGGGGAAATTACCCAGTGCCGCCTTATTCACGGATTTACTTGAACCTCCATAACTTTAGCACGCAACACTTACGTGCCTACACACATCAAGGTCAATATGGCGTCGTGGGATCCATCAAAGAACAAGACGTATCAAATTCTCAAAGCTGCCGAGGAAGGCCAATATGGCGTAGTCGCGCCCATCGCCTACAACATCGAGAACATCCTCGCCTTCATCCGCGCCGCCGAAGCAAAGAAGAGTCCCCTAATCATCCAAGTATTCCCATGGGCCATCACCTTCTCATCAGGTCTTCTCGTCCATGCGGCAGCGCATGCGGCCCGCGCCGCCTCCGTACCTGTTGCCATTCACCTCGACCACGCACAGGATGAAGCCATGATCAGACACGCGGCGGACACGCTGCCGTTTGACAGTATTATGGTGGATATGAGTCACTACGAGATGGACGAGAACTTGGCCAAGACGAAGGAGCTAGTGGCGTATTGCCATGAGAGAGGTATCGCGACCGAGGCTGAGCCGGGACGTATTGAGGGCGGTGAGGACGGTATCGCGGATACGGCGGACCTTGAGGGGGCTTTGACGACAGAAGAGCAGGTGGAGGACTTCATCGCTACTGGCATCGACTTTTTGGCGCCGGCTTTTGGGAATGTGCATGGCGAGTATGGCGCCAGGGGACCCGTGTTAGAGTTTGACCGGTAAGAACCGCCCCCTTGGACACTCGGTCGGAGCCGTTGCTTATTCAATGTGTCACACAGGCTGCAAAAGATTCGCGAAAAGGTGGATGGAAGAGTCCGGGTCGTGCTTCACGGAACCAATGACTTCCCCGAGGACCTGATGCAGCGCTGCATCGCTGGTGGCGTGTCTAAGGTCAATGTGAACAAGCTTGTGCTTGACGACTACTTGGTTCATTTGAAAAAGAACGCCCCAAGCCAGAATCTGACGACGTTGATGGAAGAAGGGGTCAAGGAAGCCCAGAAGTTAACGGAGTGGCAGATGGACGTGTGTAAGTCTGCCGGTAAGGCATGAGATGTAGATAGTGCAAGTGAGTTCTGCCCTCAGGGGTATATAAACCATCAATAACAAAATTTCAACGCACTACGTCCGGACTTTGACTATCAGCATTTGCCCATGCCTTCCTCAGGTCATCCCGCCATGTCGCCATCGGCGTCCATCCGACTCTTTCTTCGCTTCTCTCAATCAGAGAGAGAATAGTATTTCTCTTTAGCGAGTCTTGTACACACAACCCCGCCCCGTACAGACACTGTGCTGAGAGTAATTGGCAGCCCTCATCTGTCGACTCCATTGCGACACCACAAATCGTATCTACGGCCTCTGAGAGCGATCGTTGCATCTTCATATACCCGTCAAACCCAGATGACACTGGCTTATGAAGAAGAACGAGTATCTTTGCGAATGAGTAAGCCTGGAGAGCAACTCCGAATTCGGGTGGGTGAATCCAAAGCGGCTTAAACACATCAGACGGACTTGCTGAAGTTGGGAGGGGCTTGAACTCAGTTCCCAGAAACGACTTCCATCGCTCCATCTCAGCTAGCATTTCGCTTCCGGCCCTTGCTCTATTCCCCGAAGCTGAAACTTCAGTCAAGGAGGAAGACTCCATCAGTCGCGAATAGGCGCAGTAGTTGACGGCTCGCGATAGCAGGTAAATAGCTCTGTCAGCTAGACCGTGCGGATCAAGCTCAGAGAAGTCTTTATCCGCGGCCCAGAAGCTGAGGCAACGTCTCTTCTCACGAAAAGCAGCCCAAATATCCTGGCGGAGCCAGGCCCACCAGACCGCTTGTCGCAGTCCGCCGGACGCCCCGTTGACGTCTTGAGATCGTTGGATCCAGAAGACGCCCTTCAAGTGTCGTTGCCAGTTGCCTCTGCCGTCTGATTCGTCCAGCATCTCGTACGCTGAGATGACAATGGCCGTGGCATTGAGCTCTTCTGAAGCAGTATAGCTGGTATACGTCAATGCCTCTTGTACATAGCGGAGGGTTTCGTAATAGTATCGAACCCATTCTCCACCGGAATCCTCCCCCGTGTCTCCATTGCTCACGTTGGAGTTCCGGTGGCCTCCTCCTTCCAGTTTTGAGAGGTGCTTAGCCGATAACGCCAAGATTGCATTCATGAGACCTGCATTTCTCAAAGCCAACCGGACTGCGTAGGTGGAGAAGAGCTTCTGCGGATCCAAGAAGTCCAACCAGCGAGCCGATCGTTCCGTAAAGTGACGAAAGAGTACAGCCTCCCGGTTGGACAGTAAGATGTCCCGATCCGCCTGCCAAGTCTTCCGCTCTGGATCTGATACCTCGTTAAGCCGGGACTCGAGATTGGTTGCATCGGGCGGGCCATGCAGGTCCGCCGCCCGCCTCTGCTCCTCATCCTCCGGGGCGGGGCTCGGCGCGAGAGAAAAGCCGCTGTCTGCCTGCGCCGCGTCGGTGGCGAGCAGACCGAGCCATCGCGTCGAGGCGAGATCGGTGGTCCAAAGCTCGGATGCGACGGTCTCGGGAGAGTAGCTGTACACGTCGCCGAACGTCACTCCCGCCGATACGCGCGGCTGGCTCACGTAGGGCGCATGGGCTGCGTCATACGTCCCGGGAGGCTGGGAGACGTGCTGCATCGACGTCTGCGACTCGAGGCTGATGGACCCTGTCGAGCCGATCGATTGTGGGAGCTCATCGACGCGGGAATGACTGCCATCGTCTCCGAGACGCGCGGTCGGGCGGTCGTTATGTGAAGCAGCTGGGCTTGCTCTTCTGCCCGCGTCCTGAGACAGACGGGGAAAGACGCAGTGACGAGACGAGATGCTGCACGGCCCACAGACCGGTTGCTGTTCGTCGCATTTTTTGTGTCGCTCACGACAAGTCAAGCTATGTGCAACAGGTCAGCAACCCGCGCGTCGAGGGTAATGCGACTGGGGGAGCGCTTGCACTGACCAGCCCGTTTTGGTGCGCAGACCACGGCCTCGAGGCTTTCTGACGCGCTTCTTGGGAGGCGCGGATGCAGCTCGTCTTCCATCCATGAGGTCATGGCAGGCCTATCGTCGTGTTTGCGGTTGTGTACGAATCTCGGTTCCTTGCATGAAAGGGCTGCGAGACGCGGTTCGAGCAGGGTTGAGTTAAGACTTGACGGTATGCGGGGGCTAGCGACCCATGGAACTGGAACCACTACTCGTGACCTAGTGGAAACTTGGAAAGAGTTACGAAGTGCGAGCTGTCACAGCTTTTTTTCCGAGTTGTGCGGAGCAGCGGAGCGTCGCCGACCCTTCGCACTCGGTTGTAAAGAAGTTGGACGTCGGGACTTGTCCGTGGAGTTTGATGAGCTGCATTGCCGAGCTGGGAACTTGAGCGTGATTTTTGTGCGGGGACTCGCGGGGGAAAACGAACCATTGCCATTTCCCCAACAAAGCGCCTGGGGGGCAGGGGTAAGTGGGCTAGGTAGCGTACTCCGTATTAGTTCCAGTCTTGTTTGCCTACGGGTGCGCGTCTCGGGGGCCTAGACTGACTCGCTTGGAGCTCTTCTCGTTCACGAAGCTTCGGAACCTGAGAAGAGCTGAGTGAAACTAGTGTTGTAGAGAGTCATCAGACATCGAGATGCCCATGTGGCTCGAGGCGCGTCAAGTTGGTATTCTGAGTACGAGAATGAGGTTCTATGTGTGGTTGCACTTGAAGATGAAGAGGTTGCAATGGAGGGGAACTTGCAGTTATGGTTAATACGGAAGACGTTACCCGTGCCATATATCCGGATTCCTCTCCATGGCAATGGCTTCCAGGTGACATCTGAACATCATCGGTCCAGACACATTCGATATGGCGACGAAACATTACTTTCCCGACACGGCTGCGAATACGCTCGTTCCGAGAGCTCTGCGTGCTCTTGTATTGGCGAACCCTCATCTCACTCTCAGTGAGGCAGAACGTGTCGTTGCAAACTCTCACAATGACCGATCGACCGTAAGCATCATTGGCGGTGGCGGCTCAGGCCATGAGCCGGCATGGAGTGGATTCGTCGGCGAAGGTCTCCTTTCAGCAGTTGCCTGCGGCGACATCTTCGCCTCGCCAAGTACAAAACAAGTTCTTGAGGCGATGAGACTGGCGCCTTCTGATGCTGGGACCATCCTTCTCATCACCAACTACACTGGTGATAGGCTTCACTTCGGGCTCGCTGCGGAGAGGGCAAAAGCCTCTGGCTTGTCTGAAAAAGTCGTTGTTCTGCCTGCTACGGACGATGTTTCCATCGGCAGGAGCAAAAGTAGCAGAGTGGGAAGAAGAGGAATGCCAGGTCATATTTTCAGTAAAGTCTCAATTACCTTGCCATCTGCTGCTCTTACTAATTATGTTCAGCTATGAAGATTCTCGGTGCGGCAGCGGCTGAGAAGTATCGCTTTGATCAATGTGTAGAGATCGGCAGGGCTGTTAACGACCAGACTGTCTCGATAGGCTCAGCTCTGGATCACTGCCACGTCCCAGGACGGCAATATCACTCTGTCGCAGAAGATGTCTGCGTTGTCGGCGCTGGCATCCACAATGAGCCAGGCCAACAGCTCATTACCCCCTTTCCGTCAGTAAATGATCTTATCGACAGGATGTTGAAGCTGTTATGCGACCAGAATGATGCAGAAAGAGCATTCGTGTCTTTCGAGAAAGGGGATGAAATTACGCTTCTCATCAACAACTACGGCGGACTCTCAGTCTTAGAGCTGGGCGCGCTCACCGATGAAGTACAGACTCAGCTTGCGTCGACCTGGTCGATTACCCCCGTACGAACACAAGTTGGCACCTTCGAGACGTCTCTCAACGCACCTGGATTCTCTATCTCACTCTGCAACATCTCGGCCGCAGCACGGCAGTTAAAGTCAACGGCTGCAGAGCTGCTTCAGCTTCTCGATCGTCCCACGAGTGCAGTTTATTGGCCGAATACTGTTCGACCAGTAATAGGCGAGGTGAAAGCGAATGGTCTGACGACAGATAAAGCTAGTGCTACGAACAGTCATGAACAGAAGTCAGATCTCAGCAAAGTTGACCCAAAACTGTTGGAAAATGCCATCAGATCAGCTTGCGAACGGGCAATCGCCGCCGAGCCGAACTTGACCAAATGGGACATGGTGATGGGCGACGGCGATTGTGGTGAAGCGGTCAAAGGCCTGTGCGAGTCCCTGCTGCGTAATCTCGACAATGGATCAGCGGCCAGCGGTTCCGTCTTCGCCTTTCTGGAATCGACGGTCGAAGCTGTCGACGACATGGGAGGAACCCTCGGGGCCATTCTCGGAATCCTTCTTTCCGCCTTCACCTCATCCCTTCGATCCGAAGCGCAAGCAAATCCCGCATCCACGAGATCATTCTCACCGATGCTGTATGCCTCGTCTCTAGCTTCAGCGGTGGAGTCTCTCAAGTCTCATACTCCGGCACGGGAGGGTGACCGCACCGTCATGGATGTGCTGATTCCGTTCTCGGATGCCTTTGTCAAGTCAGGAGACTTTGGTGCTGCTGTCAAGGTCGCTGCTGAAAAGGCAGAGGCCACCCGATACTTGAAGGCAAGATTTGGCAGGGCAACATATGTGGGAGACGCGGCGGGACAAGAGCTGCCCGACCCCGGCGCTTGGGCGTTGTATGAGTTCCTGTTGGGAATGACAGAAGCTTAGACTTTGGAGACTTTGTGAATAAGTTGAAATGACGTTTTTAGATTAATCTTGATCAGAAGACTTGAAATAAACCCTAACTCTTTTACATTCTCCGATGAATAGGTTCGAGATGGACCGGGAAATTTACATATGGACTAAAGTCGGATGTACTGACACCTTCAGCAGTTGGTGGGGTATTTCCAACGTGACAGTCTGCCCGCCCTAGTCCGGTCATCAGGATCTTTCCAATCAAAAATAGCGACTTGGGTAAAAACCACTCAATGTAAGCCTAATCTAGCCTCTTCCGAAAAGTTGTTCCAGTGAGCTACTTGAAAGTTGCGCTACCAAATGTTGGGCGGAGGACATTTCACGACTTCGACCAGGAGCTCAGTCGTGTCTGCCAACTCTTTGATACACTGAAGCTGACTGGTCAACTCTTCTGAGTTCTCGTCAGACTCCTTTGACTCATTTGTGAAACCATAGGCTATCCTCCTGGTGCCTCCCGTTTCATCCTCGCCCTTTTCACCACGAAACGAAGCAATCTTATCGAGCAGTCTGAGCCTCGTCCTCTTCAGAATTTCGCGGCTCGATTGGATCAAGATGAAGAGTCTGGTTTCTTCGTCCTGTATCCCAGCTAGACTCTCCATCGGATGACGCTCTCCACAACAGAGGACACCGTTGTCATCCCCACCATAGTAGCCAGCCAGATCAACTAGATGGCGTCGGGCCGCGAATATTGCTCTCTCGTAATTCCATTCACCAAGCCATTCCATCTGAGCTTCGTCCCAAAGGCGTATGGCTTCGGCTTTGTCTTTTAGAACTTGGGAGGGCTGGTTCATGCTGTCTTTCTTGAAAACGGGCCTCTTCTTACAGGCCGAGAAGACTGAGCCGCTTTGGTAAGAGTACGCGAAGTCTACCAAGTCGTTCTGGACATCCGGTTTGGCTGCCACGAGAATATCGGTGCTCTGATACGTGGATTTTGTTTCGTCATACTCTATGGTATCTGATAACTCGCCAACGTTGGCGTGCTTGACCATGCGGCGAGGCAATTCTCCCTTCATATTCGACCTAGGCTCCAAAATATTGGGCTTGTCGGTGGCCCAGCCACCAGCAAAGACTCTCTTCCAGAAGTTGTCGCGGATGGCACCATCAATCTCTGGCATCGGTCTGAAACCTCCAATGGTTAGCTTGAAATTCGGTCGTCCGGGGTCGTTGTATAGTAGCATCCAAGCAATGAGGTTGTCGAAAATCCTCTTTCCGGCATCGTCGAGTTGGTGGGCTCCAGAGATAACGAACTGAGGTGGTTCCGGGGAAGCCATGATGAAATCAAGAGGTGTTGTGATGAGAAGTAGCAGGTGGTGTTCCTCTCAGCAAAAGAAAACTGGATGTCAAAGTCCAAGACTCAAAATCCGTTGGTGGAAGACTCCTACTGATGTCGGACGTGTGATGTTGATGTTGAGTTGCAAAGCAGTTGCATTTGACTAGTAAATTTGGAAGTTTTTAAGTTGAAGAGCAAGAAATTTGAATGAATTCTCCTCAGTGAATTTATATGGTTAGATATGGGAAGAGGAGAATGAAATGAGAGCCTTACTGTGTGAAAGCCTGCGTGAATCAAGGAATCCCTGGGTGAACAGTGGTGCCCATTATTCAATCTATCAAACAAAGGCCATGCTCGCTTACGATACGCCATCTCGGCGAGTTCAACTCAGAGAACCAATACTGAAAGAACAAGAAGACAGATGATCTATATATAAAGTAAATGGTGCATCGTGAAAGCGCCTTGTCGAGCCTATGCCCCTTGCGCAATCAGTCCTAGCGCCTACTAGGCGTGTTTCTTTGATGTGATCTAAAGTTGGAAGCCAGGAAGGCAGGTTTGCTGATTTTTCATATGGAAAGGAAGTAACAGCAGACTCGATGCAACAAAACTTGAAACTTAACAGCGAGGTCTAAAAAGATTTCAAGGAGCAAATTGTCGAACGCCCCTTCCATATCAATTCATCATGTTAGACCTGTATGTAAAAAGAGCTCCCTTCAAATGAAGCCATCTTACGGTTAACATCACTAGATAGGCAGTTGCAGTAGAAATACCAAGGACAATACCTTCGTGTACGTGTAATTAGCCATGCTGGCGAAATCGAGAATTCATGCTACGCTTTTACGACCATCCCTTTCCATGTGCCCCAAAAAAGCAAACCCAACCTCCGTTCATAGTCCAGGTATCATTGAGTCTTTTCATCTCCCTTCAATCACCCCTCAAAAGCTGCTCGTGGACCAAGAAGTTCTTTCGAAGCTCCTCCTTCTCCAACCAGTGCTCCTCGACCAGCCGGACCTGCTTCAGCTCACTCGTATCCTCCGTGTTGGTGACCCTGAGCTGCAGAGCCAAGTTGAGGAGACGAAGGCGACCCCAGTAGACGACCTTGTCCCAGTTCCAGCCGCCGACGCGCTCCTTCTCGTTGGTGTCGTAGTGCATTCCAACCTCGACCGAGGCCTCCTCGAGAGTGAGGTCGCCTTCAATGTCAATCGAGGCGTTGGAGAGCTCGGAGCCCCGGTGGCCCTGCTGGTCAACCCAGAAGAAGCTGGCGTCGACGTCCTCCCAGCGATCGCCGACCTTCATGCTGACCTTCAAAAGAACAGACTGGCCAGCGCGGCGGTAGCCCGGGACGCTGCCGTTCTTGGGCACATCTTGGTTGAGGGTGCCGATGGTGAGGGAGGCCTCGTCGTTGGTGCGCTTGGGGAGCTGGCCCGGGGCCTTGTTCTCCTTGTTGGTCGTCCAGCCCTTGGCAAAGACACGGTTCCAGAATTCACGGCGGACGTTGTCGAGAGTTTCGGGGTCGACGGGGTAGTTGCGCGGGATGAGTGCCTGCAGGAGGTCGTCGCACATGCGCTGCTGTGAGGCCGAGAGCTGGCCTAGGCCTGCGATAGCAATCATGGCGCCTTGCAATTCCAGTTCACTGTAGTACTGCATGGTTAGCTTTGTATTAGTCTGAGTGCTTTAATGCGGATTTGATGCTAGTTGGGAGGGGTTGTACCGGAAAGACAACTGCGATTTAGGGAGTGTGTGTTTGTCGAGATGCTTTGTTGTGGTGGTGAAAGCGTGAGGGTGAAATATTTCGCAAAGTGTATGGAAGACTTCAGGCAAAGGAGGGAAAAAAAGCTGAAAAGTGTTTGCAGATGGAAGATTCTCCTTGTGCTGTGAGGGATGAAAATTGGGAAAAAGTAGGGCAGGTTGTTATGTGGTTGCTGGGACTGTTGACAAAGTCGGACGCGTCTGAGATGCTCTGGGAATTCACCTTCACTTCGAACGCAGCAAACCACTCCTGTTTTATGGACCCACTGGAGAAACTAGACACTCACAAAACAATTCAATTGTCCTGGTGACCATACACTTGCAACTCAGTCCACACAAAAGGGGTAGTTCATCCACGAGACAACATGGAAGAAGCTCCTTGTTGCGATGTATCAACGATGACTTTGACACTTGTAATATGCCTCGATCTATCTGAAAGGACTTTAGGGATGTTCTAGACAAGAAAGGGGAAGCTAGTGGCGGGTTCATGCTCAAGCCTGGTCTTCAATCTCCTAACGACTGGATTGTCTTCCATGGAACATGGCGATCAACACGATGTCAAGGAATCTGAGCATAAATTCCATCGAATCCCGACTAAGGCGTCGGCTATTCATTGTTTTATAGCTCAATATGCCTTTGTCGAACTGCTAGTTACCCAGGTCTACTTCGTGGACTGGCTGTTTTGCTCAGACTGTGACATCCCCGTGAAAAGCCATACTGGTTTACGTTGATTGACTGAAATGGATACCTCGATCCCAAAATGAAGTAAACGATTACTACAGCTCTTTATACCCAATGAGGTCAAATCAGCGGAAGATGTGTTGTGACTTAAGATATTCCACAACACATAAGATGAAATTATGTTCCACATAAGGACATGATTCACTGCTACAGTCGGTCCATGACTCCATCCTTGATCGCGGATCAATTCTCGAGGCTTCGAGTAAAGTGGTCAAACCTCATTACAGACAAATACTGAACCAAGAAATCTAGACAGATATTACCACCATCAAGTTGCTCATTGCGACGGCGAACGCCTGAACTATTTCGCGCTGTGTATCTCAACTGACTTTGACCTCCCTCAAATGGGTCTAGTGAAGGCATCCCTGATACATCATGGCCTGATTGTGAAAGCGATTGAATATTGAAAAGATCAACAGTTAAGTCATAATGCTTGCGGAGCGAAACTTGAATCACCGCGTGGGCGGTCTTGATGCTATAATCATACACTATCTACGGTAGCCAGACAGATCCATATCCAGCGAAAGGTCGTCATCATGAAAATCCCCTCATTCCCCATCCGGGAGGGTCAACCCAAAAAACCGTACGCCCGCTAATTGCCTTTTAAATTCTCATCACGCGCGGGAATCCCGCCTCAGGAGGCTACCCACGTCGTGTAACTTGACGTTCTCCATCGGCTGCGCCCCGCGATCCACCCGGCCCCACCCGGCGCCCCATGTCGGGAAAACGCCGGGAGCCGCGGGATCGGCAGGCATCTGCTCGTCAGCGGCGCCCATATTCCTCCCAGTGTATGCGGAAGATACACCGCTGTTTCGTATGCTCATCGCGTACTCGTCCGTACTTCCACCAATGCTGCTGCCGCTGCCGCCGCCGCCCCTTTCTCTCCGCCTTTTGCGCCAGAACCGGGTCTGACTCCTTCTCCTGCGCTCTTCCTCTGCGAGGAGGTCGGGCGACGTCATGATACCGACACGTGCTGCTTTGACGGTGCTTGTACGTGGGTAGTGGAACCCTGCGGGGTGTCCACCGCCGAAGGGATTCCACTTCGATTGCGGGCGTGGGTAATGCGATATGCTGCCATTGCGGCCGCGGTTGTAGGATGTTGGTGTCTCGCCGGCAAGTTCTTCGAGAGTCATACCCTTAGTCTCCGGAATGAGTAATGACGACAGCATACCGAGAAACATGAATAGTGCAAACAGCTCCAGGAGACGGTCGAGCCAGGGCGCACAGTGATCGCCGTGGCAGTCGCCAGGGACGTCTTTGGCGAGCAGAGGGATGCTGATAACCTGTGCTAGGATAGCACCGACTTTGCCCATCGCTGCAGATATTCCATGTCCAGTGGAACGGTAGCGGGTCGGGAAACATTCGCCAGGAACGATAAATGTGGTAGTGTTGGGGCCAAAGTTGAAGAAGAATTGGCCAGTGATGTACAAAGTCAGAAAGACGGCATCGGTCAACTGGTGGAGCAGGAAGCCGAGCACGCAGAAAATAACGGTGAGCATGAAGAAGCCCATGATCTGGATGGGTTTACGGCCAAGGGTGTCGATGGTGAAGACGGAAACCCAATAGCCTGGGATCGCACCAGCGCACGCCAGTATGATCAGTCCTACGGCTTGGTTGTGTAGTCTCTTGTAAAAATTGGCTCCGTCAGCATAACCAATGGTTTGCAGCACTACGGTGCTATTCAGCCCGAGACCATAAAATGCCAGGTCCTGTTCCGTACATTAGTATGCCTAGACCAAGTGATTTCTCCGAGTGTTATGCAACTCACCAGGAAGAACCAGGAAAAGGCAGTGCCCAAAAGCATTTTAAAATGCTTCCATTGCGTGAAGTATGCCCAGGCATCAGGCCAGGATGCTGCCGGAGTGTTGTAGCCGGGACCGGTCTCCTTCTTCATCTTGAATTGTAAATCCGTATCGTAGTCACCCTTTGACTTGCTCGCCATGTACGCTCGAATATCCGCATCGGCCTTCTCGACGTCTTGCTCCACGTCAAAGGTGTACCGCGGCGTCTCTGGAATCGTGATTCGGTAGTACAATGCTATGCAGGCGGGCACCGCACCCATGCCGACGATGATGCGCCATGAGCGGTCGGCAGCAAGCTGGCATCGTGCATGGCAGTCGCCGAGAGTGTGAACGTCGAGGTAGGAGTCCTTGAAGGCTTCGGCAGTGACTAAAGCCACGACGGCCGCACCGAGCTGACCCATGCCTTGCATCGAGAATACAGCCGCAATCATGGCTCCTCGCCATCGGGTTGGCGCAAACCTGTGGACCGCGTCAATCCCAATTCTTGAAGTTAATGACCTAAGACCCAACTCACTCTGATGTAATGACTGAACTGAGCGGATAATCACCTCCAATGCCGACGCCCTTGATGTCGTTAGCAGTGGCACAGAAACAACAACAACATACAAGGCACTTACCATGATAACCCTCCAGAAAATCATCAGCCCAGTGAAGCTAACCGATTGACTCGGAGAGACCAGGGCGGCGCTTAACGTCGCCAAGATGATGATTCCAAGTTCCACACCATACATCCTTCTTCTGCCAAAAACGTCGGCCAACCAGCCAAACACAATTTGGCCAACAATGATTCCAGCACTGGTTGAAGCCTTGAGAGCCGAGTTCACCGGACCCGGCAGTTCGCCGTTGTTGCCGCCATAGCCATGCGCACTCGATTCAGGAGGCCCTTGCCAAAACACTACGCCGAGGAGAGTAGTGATGAGGTTGATGGCAAAGATGTCGTATGAGTCGAGGAAGAAACCAACGCCCGCAACCAGAATAGCCCTTACATCTGCGGTTCAATGTCAGTCTTGGCTGAGAAGCGCAAAGCGCAAAAGGTTCGGTGCAGACTAACGGTACAAGCCAAAAGGAACCTTGTCAATTTCGCTCAGTGCCAATCGTCTCCTTAATGAGGGGTCTGTAATATGAGAGTAGTCGTTTGCAAAGTTGTGAAAGGCCTTGTTGCCTCCATTCGTCCGCCGATGAATCCGTTCCGTGGACGGGGTCATCGGCGGCGGTAACATTTCGTCCATCTTGAGAAAGTAGCGTTGTTGAAAGCAAGAGTTTGATGGAAAAGTCGTCGCAATGGCAATGTTGCCCGGTCTATGTCGCCGTCGTCCGCCCAGATGCCATTGTGGAGAGCCTTAGTCCGTGTGCTGGGCAGCTCTCGATAACCCCCAATTCCTTTCTCCAATCCACAACTTCGGGTCCTCCGTCGTCGAGGCGTATGTCGTCGCTTAGGTGCGTAGCTGGCGTGTCTCTGAGCCGGGAATCTCTGATGTTCGAGTATCGAGAGTCAACGCGATCGTGGCTGACATTTGTTGGATAACCACAGGCTCGGCTAAGGGTTGGGTAACTCGATCTCAAATGCGCGGGGCGTGAAGGGTGTAGGAGAGTTTAAAGGGAAACGCCCGAGGGCCACAGACATGCATACCACACATATAGTCCGCCTGATCCGTTCTTACAAGACCTCTGCAATTGGGCGAGGGGCTGGAGTTGGGTGACAGGGGCTTGGCAGGGCATACAAATGGCAGGGGGATGCTAGTCAAAAGGGGGGAGGGCCCGCGACGTGGCCGATTGGATGAGTGGAAGGGATGGGCATGGACGTAAAGAATGTCCATGTATATTGTTAGTAATTCCTTCCTCTGACCTCACAGTACGCAGTAGCGTGTTAAGAATAGCTGTTTGAATACAGAGTTGGAGAGTTTGCAAAGACGCAAGAGCGAATTGGTCGGATGCTGGGGAAAGCAAAGTTGGGGGCGGAATGGATGGAACGATTGTAATGTTAAACAAGGTGATGGTTCGCATCTGTCACCGTGTCACGTCCTGTTTGTCAAACCGATCCCGGATCCGGTTGCAGCCAACATCGTCTAAGGAAAGGGAGCCCTAAAGCTAATCGTCCCGGAGCCAGAGAGAGTGTGTGGGTGTGTATTGTATCCGTACGGATACTGGGAATTAGGGACAAGATAGAGTGTGATTGGGTGGCCGGGCAGAAGAAAGTTTGTCTGCGTTTTAAGCCAAGGGCAAGAGTCTGACCCCGAAGAACAATGTCTCAACTCACGGCGCTAACAAGAAACATCGAATGAAGCAGGACTGGGGAAACATACTTTTGTCTCTGTCAGAATAGGCGACGAGATGAACAAAAGCAGTCGAGACCAGGGCCGTATCATTCATGGTTGCAATAAGGCACCTCGTGAGCCTGTAAAAGGGGGAAGCCGGTTGCCAATGGTCAGGCAGCAGACGACGGATGCAAGTTGCAGGCTGCGATGCGATGCCACGTGCTGTCGATAGCCGTCCGGTACGGATTTCTGCCTCGGTGGGGCACCGGTGGAGAACGTTGAAGAATGAACAGGCCCCCAGCCGTTGGTAGACTTGCACATCATTTTGCTAGTTGCCTTTTGGTCTGTATTCTGGTCTGGGCCCTCCTTGCTGGAGTGGTAAAGCTTTTGCATATGCGGACGCGGCTGGCGATGAAGACGGAAAAGGTGAGGCAGCAAAAGCTTACCAGGATATTTTTGGGAAACAGCGATGAATTGAATTGGGACGAAGGACAGAGCGAGCAATATGACGGACTGTAAGGTATCCATAAGGAAGGTAAGGAAAGTTGGCTCCAAACGTCAGACGGGCGCTCTTGCCAGGGTCACTAAACGATGCATTATCAGGTCATTTCTAGGCAACCTGGGAAGGCAGGTGCAGCCCAGCGTATCCACTTCCATTTCCTTCTCCACCGTTTAACAGCTTTAGTCTGGTGCCTTCCAAGTTCTGAATGAGCGTCTGACTCTTTCCGCATGCATTGGGCGACGCTGGACACGACGGATCTGGCAGGGAAGACGCTCTTCATGCGAGTGGCTCTTTCCTTAGCCATGTTCCCAAGAATCAACGTCGCCCCCACCGCGATCCTTCCAGGTTCCCAGACTTCGACTCGGGAGAGCAGGGGTGCTCCTTCTAGAAGGACGCTGGAACGCCGACCACACGGAACTCTTTTGACGCAGTCACCCAAACGGCACCTTCAATGTCCCATTCCTTTTTGTGCATCTCTTCCGCACAGGAATTCCCGACGTCGCATCAAACACGTTGAAAACACGTCCAGTCTCTTTCGGTCCAGATCAACGAACCAAACGCTACTCCCCGTCTCTCCATTGACCACCTCTCACCTGACTGGCACACCGAGGCTCGAAATGCGGGCAGACGCCTACCTGACCTTAAGTACGCGTACGGAGTACAGAAACGGCCGATAGGATAATACGTACTGACATGGCCTCTTGCCAATTTCCTCCCCTAATAATTCCCTCTCTCACCGGTAGTCCGTACGCCTCACTCACGACACTTGATTACTTGATAGCCCCCCACGGCCTCCAGATCTGCCAGTGCACTCGCTTGGCTCACTGGGCAGGGGATGAGGCAGGGATTCCCCGAGCCAATACCAGGGATTCCCTATCGCACGTGTACCCCGCGACACCGAAGCGACTCTTCTGTAGAGTCTTCTGTCCACGTCCAACGTCCTCAGAAGTTGAGAGAGTCTCGAAGAACAAGGGGGGAGAAGGCTGCATTTCATCACCGCCGAGCGGCCAACGCGTCTTTCGGCGATATGCCGGTCAGCCTTTGGACGAAGCTGCCGCACCGCACCGTACACACTCACCTGATTTCTACTGTCCCCTGAAATGCCGCTTATCCGGACTACGGTCTATCCGTCTTTACAGCAGTATTAATGGCACACCACCCTCACCACCAGACAAGCTCATCATCTCTTGTTATGGCGATAGAGTTTGGTTTCAGTACCTTTACTCTTCCCTTACGGCCGGCTAAACTATGTAGTATGGACGAGTCATCTATTGTGGTACGTCTCTTCAATAGCCGTTCAACCTCCTTGCTCCGCCATTCGTCCTTTGCAAGCCCTCCGTACGCCACAAATAGGAACTCCTGCTTAGCTTTCAGGCTACCTAGAGTTTACTGCTGCACTCCCGTTCATGAGAACTGCTCCGGCGACGTTCGGGAGGGGGGAGCGGCAATGATTGGGATTTGAGGTTCCCTGGGAAGCAAGGTTGCGAAATCTTCCGCGAGCCTCCCCGAGAACGAGATAGGAATATCTCTCGTGCGCCCGGTCGGCAGCCCGCTTAAGGAGTTTAAAATGCCAAGCTGCGGAACCGCATCCCATTAAGAATGGGTTGTGGCTCATTCAGAGAAAGGAGCCATATAGCTCATAAGACCTCACGCCCGGCTCGCTCGAGGAGGAGGAGATGAAAGCTCTGGACAGGACGAGGTTGCCAGTGAGACGCTTCGACATCGATGAGCTCAATGTTATGCTTTGAGGTCGTCCGTGAGAATGATGTTTCCGGTCCATCTGCAGGGACCCAAGTCCCAAAATCAAATCCAAGCTCTGTATATGGCCAAGTAGAGCCGAGTGACATTAGGTAATGCGGCATTATCGTCTGCATGAGGTTCATTACACTCATGTTCCACTCCGTAGTCCAGATTCCACAATCACGTCAGAGGCACGATTGCAAGACACTGCATGATCCAAACCCAAAATTCTTCCCATCTATTTCCTTGATCGCTGAGTTGTTGAAAAAGACTCCAGACCTGTTGAAACAAAAATAACCCATGAAGAGAGATGATGAGAGTCTGCCCGTTTGGCCCTCTCTACCTATATTGCACACCCATTTTTTACTCCCCCCCCCCCTTTCGTTACCAGGCGGTAATATCCTCCACCTCGGCCTCGCCAAATGTGCTGCTCTTAGTCAGCTGTCCAACACCGACCTCCTCCACCTCCTCGCCTTGCTTCTCCATGATATCCGGTAGCGTCTGCTTGAGGAAATCCAGCACGTAGCGGTTCACCTGCTCAAACTGGAGCAAGAAGGCGTCGTGGCCCTCGGGGCTGTCGATGCGCTCGAGGCGGGCGTTCTTAACGTGCTCGGCGATCTCTTCCTGCTCGGCAAAGGTGAAGAGGCCGTCGGACTCGATGCCGAGGACGAGGGTGGGCTGCTCGATGAGGGCGAGGGCCTCGGCGATGGTGGGCGCGCGGTCGCGGGAGACGTCGTGAGTGTCGAGCTTGCGGGTCATGGCGATGTAGCAGTTGCTGTCGAAGCGCTTGACGAACTTTTGGCCTTGGTAGCGGAGGTAGGATTGCGCGGAGAAGTAGGTTGATGTCGGGAGCTTGTCGCCTCCGGTTAGGCTGTCCGTTGTCGTTGCTGTCGTCGTTTGGGGTCCGTGGAATTGGGGATCCAGAGACTCGGGAACCGCTGCCTCCGCTGCGCCGTTGACGGGCGTTGTACCCTCCGCCGTGCTGCTGCCGCCTTGGCTGTTCTGCCTCGAGAGGCCAACGCGCTTGACGTTGTGCCCGTCGTTGTGGATGTGGAAGTGCGCCTCGGACGGCGTGCTGGGTCTGGGCCGCTCGCGGATGATTTGCCGCCTCGACGGGTCCGGGATGTTGCGTCCAAAGCGGGACTCGAAGGAGTTGCGGCTGCGGTAGGTCAGGAGGGCCGACATGCGGGCGGCGCCGAGACCCGTGGAGGGCGGGTCGTCAAAGGGGTAGTAGCCGTCGTCGTACTTTGGGTCGGCGTAGATGCTTTGGCGCTGAGCCTCGCCCCAGCTGATGCCCCAGGCGCTGTGTCTGCTCGAGGTCGCGATGGGGACGACGCAGCGGATGTAGTCCTTGCCGAGGTAGGCCCACTCCAGGACGAACATGCCGCCTAGTGAGCCGCCGATGACTGCGGCGATTTGCTTGACGCCGAGGTCGTCCAAGAGTAGCTTGTGAAGACTATGAACGTATGAGCCTTGAGCAACGGGACATGGCGATGGGGCGTGACTTACTTGACATCGTCACGGATTGTGGTCAAGGGGAACTCGGGTCCATAGATGCCCTTCTCGGGATCTCCATCCTTGGCCGTGACAGGACTCGCCGTGCCGTACGGGCTTCCCATGGCGTTCATGCATACGATGAAGAACCGCGATGTGTCAAAGGCTCTGCCAGGTCCCCCGAGAAGAGGACCCCACCAATCGCTGACGTCTGCGCTGCCGGTCAAGGCGTGGCAGATGACCATGGCATTATCGCCATTGGGCGAGAGCTTGCCTCTGGTCGTGTAGGCGACGGGAACATTTTGAAGAGTGACCCCCGATTCGAGGGTGAATTCAGGGATGATGGCGAACTGTTGCTCCGGAATCAGGGTAGCAAACGGGTTCTCAGGCTGCGTTTGGGTTCTTTCTTGCGGGTATTCAGCAACCGGTCTCATTACTTGATAAGAGGAACATTCTCATGACATTTTGAGGTGGGATTACAGAGCAATAGAACAAGAAGTGAGCCACTTAGCTCGTACTGAAGAGACATATGATGCGGTTAAGACGAATTGAGAGGTGAAATGACACTCCCAGGCTAAGGATAAACTGACCGTACTTCGGCTGAGCGCCGTTCTGTAAATTTTGTGCGGCCATCCCGATCTCGGAATGAACGAGGGGCAGCGTTTGGGATGCAAACTGGGGTCGGGATGTCTTCAATTGAAGATACAAACAGGCCTTGAATAAGGTAGAACAAGGGTAATGTTACTGGGAGTAAAGCCCCTCCGCGATGGCGAGATATGCGAGATATATGAAGAATCTGGGGATTCCACTTGCTCGATGTGACTGTATGACTGGTCAACGTTCAATGAGGGCAGCCAAAGATTTGCGCCGAAAATGGCGTAATGACTGGCAGCTTTGCCGGTATCTTAATCGCAGCCGTTATTTCCATGGCGAATCATTGGCCGCAGGGGATCGATGAGTCAGCCGAGATCCGGTCAATTGGGAGTCAGCCAGCTGGCAGGTCTCCAGGGCCGGTACGCTATAATCACCCCCGTACATTCACGCGTAGCCAATCCAAACCCCTCAGTTGGTGAATACCCCATAAAAGAAAAGCTACCCAGGTACTTAGTACCTTCCTCCGGTACCTTCCACCTCACAGCCTTCCTCCGTGAGGCTGCTACCCGTTTTCAGTGAAGTGGATCTCAAGCTCGCTCGACTCTGGAGTTGCAACTGCGTCTTCACGCGAGAAATCGTTCATCGTCACCTTTCTGTCGCCAACCCCGAAAATCTCCAACTTTGGAGCGCGACTTTTTCCCGCAATCGCAGCAGCTCTATTTCTTTTCGTCGAAGCGATTGCTTGACCCAACCGATTGTACTAGCTATTTCAACTTTCCTTTGTGCACGGCATTCGCTGAACAAGCTACACGCGACAAGCTTCTGAATCCTTTCAACCGCAAGGCATCTCTCCCTTCCATCTTCAAACGCGCGCGCAAATTA